ATGCGGCTAATTCATTAGCCTCAATTGTCCCTCGCAGTTCAATCACTCCTACTGAGTCTCGTGAGTAAGCTAGGAGGTCGCCGGACATCTCATTTTGTTTATAGAACCCGTCCCCAATCTCGTATCGGGAAATGACTAAACTCAGGTCTGAGTGTGAATACGGGTGGTACCTGCAAGAGTGTTCATTAAGCATTTAGAGTTCTGTAAAACTGCAGTTACAATTGTGCTTAGTGCTAGAGTATTTTTAATATATACGATTGGTATCAGATATATATATAAAATTGGTAACATCTCATTTTAAAGCTGTATTGATTTTTTATACGCATACCAAAAATCAAATGCGTTACTAAAACAGAAATGGAATTACAGAAGTTTTAAATTTGTTTGCCAAAAGACGAACTTTTAGGGGTGTTTCTAATGACCAGGGTCAGTAATCTTTTTAGGATATTGTAGTTTCGTGAATAAAAAACCGTTGGATTCGAGCGTAAGATTTTGTAATACTGATAGTTGGATAATATCCGGTTGGAAGAGACAAGGACAAATGAAACAGGAAGTTAGGAATGTAGGCAAATTTTCGGCGTTAACGCCATCTTCAGGCTAAAATTGGTACAAATGTTAGTATACAATTATAATATATATACTACATAATATATGGACACGTTCATTTGAGTTTGAGGATATTGGTAAACAAAAATAATAGCGTTTTTGACGATAGTGGCTTAATTTTGACATCTATTAACCTAGCACGTTCAGAAGTTCTGAACATTAGCCGCGTAACCCATACTCCCATATGCACTGCTCAGAAAGAAAATCTATTGTTGTTAGGCACTATAATGGTTCAAATGTCACATTTTGTGTGACTTAGTTAACTGCAGTTGTCTAATTATCATTCCTTGGTCTGGAACATAGTAGATTAGGTCAATCTAACAATTATGATACAACATTGGTTAAAGGGCACGGATCGAACGGTTACAAGGCAATATTCAGGTAACTTTGTCACACTCAGAATACCATACCTCTATTCTACTGTGAGGTGTCCTCAAAACCCTTTTTACTCATTATTTGATGGTTGATCTACCAAGTACGGAGTACCAATCATAGCCTTAAAATATGTTGCTTTGAATAGTAAGCTAATACATGCACTTGGTTATTGGGAAATGAGGTTAATTCTGTCACAATATATGGAATTTAAAATTTTGGGCGAATTATTTATATCTGATTTTGGTTTGAAAGGCGGGAAAACTTTACATGATGACAATGTAGTTGATGCAAGTTAAGATCAGTTGATGTGAACATGTCTTGCCCCTATTTTGAAGATCTATATATTCTATAACTCTATTAGAATTTAACATTCTTTCAGAAAAAATTGGTAGAATATTGTCCAGAACATCAGAGCTCAAGTTTAACAATTTTGGGTTAAATTTGTCAAAGTCACTAAAAATGTGACAAAATTAACTTTTCCTGCCCCAACAATTTCAAGATAGTGTGTAAAAATTAGCATAGGCTGCCTTATTACCTAAATAAATCAATCCAAACTACAAAAAAATATATGTTAATGTGATGACGATTACCTAACTGTAATAATAACTGATGTGACAAAGTAAACATGTCTTGCCCCTATTTTGAAGATCTATAACTGTATTAGAATTCAACATTCTTTCAGAAACGATTGGTAGAATATTGTCCAGAACATCAGAGCTCGAGTTTAACAATTTCAGGTTAAATTTGTCAAAGTCACTAAAAATGTGACAAAATTAACTTTTCCTGCCCCAACAATTTCAAGACAGTGTGTAAAAATTAGCATAGGCTGCTTTATTACCTAAATAAATCAATCCAAACTACAAAAAAATATATGTTAATGTGATGACGATTACCTAACTGTAATAATAACTGATGTGACAAAGTAAACATGTCTTGCCCCTATTTTGAAGATCTATAACTGTATTAGAATTCAAAATTCTTTCAGAAACGATTGGTAGAATATTGTCCAGAACATCAGAGCTCGAGTTTAACAATTTCAGGTTAAATTTGTCAAAGTCACTAAAAATGTGACAAAATTAACTTTTCCTGCCCCAACAATTTCAAGACAGTGTGTAAAAATTAGCATAGGCTGCTTTATTACCTAAATAAATCAATCCAAACTACAAAAAAATATATTTTAATGTGATGACGATTACCTAACTCTAATAATAACTGATGTGACAAAGTAAACATGTCTTGCCCCTATTTTGAAGATCTATAACTGTATTAGAATTCAACATTCTTTCAGAAACGATTGTTAGAATGTTGTCCAGAACATCAGAGCTCAAGTTTAACAATTTTAGATTAATTTGTCAAAGACACTGAACATGTGACAAAATTAACTTTTCCTGCCCCAACAATATCAAGATAGTGTGTTAAAATTGGCATAGGAATTAGGATGCTTTATTGCCTATATTTATTGATCCATACTACGAAAAAGATCGGTTAATCTGATAACGATTACCTAACTCTTATAATAACTGATGTGACAAAGTAAACATGTCTTGCCCCTATTTTGAAGAACTATACCTCTATTAGAATACTATGTAATTTTATCATCAAAAAAATGTCGATAAACTAGTTATTTTGCCAGCAAGGAGCTGACAGAGTTATGATAATTTTTTTGTGACGAAATTACCCTATTTTTGACCATGTTGTGGTAGATTAATTGTGACACTGTTAACATATTACCACACGTTAATGATTTATGTGACTGGTGCATGGTACTAGCAGTGTTGTTTGATCCATAGTACGTAATACAAAGGGTTTAAGCTGGTATATCATTATTTGTTCAATTTCACACATGTTCAGATATCATCAAGATTATGTGACAAAGTAAACTTGTCTGTGCCTTCTGTGTTTTAATTCCTTGCGACTATATGATATAATAACAATTCCTAGCACTTCCAGGCCATTAACTAAACCTACACTACTCAGCATTGCTTATCAGGGTTCCCTAAACATTGTTCACATATTTTCTTAAATGTGTGACAGAGTAAACCTGAGTGCACCATCTAACGAAAAAAGTCGTCAAATATGTAGGTAATGGTCATATGTACACATCCAATCAACTGGACACTCAAAATTTTGGTCAAAAACGGCAGCAAGGGGTCCATATTTACTCTGTCACATGTTTATAGTGTGACAATGTAACCATTTCCGTGCCGGCCGTATTTAAGCGATATCTTATCACCTGATTAAGATATCGTTATGTGACAAAGTTAGCCTAGAGGATGAGACGATTATCCTAACCATCAAGGGTTTGTGTAATTTCATAGTGTGACAAAGTCAACTACACTGTGCCTTTTAATAGGGTCACTTATATTTACAAATATCCTCAAACTCAAATGAACGTGTCCATATATATACTACTACTAGTTTAAATGCTAAATTAAAATTACACACACTAAATACAGATACATCAACTGGTATTATATATATTACATAAAATGGTGATGTGCACACATTTTACACTCTGTCCAAGTACATGGGGGTCGTGTGCACACACACAGATATTATCCAACTATCAGTATTTCAATCATGAGACTAATAAACAATGAACTACAACATCATTTGGTAAGATTTTGAGTGTAAGGTTAGCATAAGTTATCGATGGTTTTGCGAAGTAAGACACGTGTTAGTCGGGTGCATTAGTTTAAGGATAGTTATTGGATAGACTGCGCCGCGTGGTACCACGTGGTTCGCCATGTGGTACCACGTGACGCAATGCAGTAGATGGTCGCTGGCCCTGTTAGAAGCAGTTCTTCGAGTAGCAAGTTTAGGTTCCGTGTTATAAAGTTTACCGCTACTCGAGAATACTCAAACGTGGCCCGATCAGCTACGAGTTTTAGTTGTTCGTCGAAGTTTTATATAATATTTACCTTCGAGATTTATTGGTCGACTCATCTGCTTCCTTTGTACATCACTAACTTAGAATTCAAATTATAGCCATTCGATCGAGATGAAAGTATTACAGCACTTAATTGCGTGTAAGAGTTGGCGATACTCGATTTATCGTATTTTTAATCCTGTTACAGCACTGACTGCTTGTGAAGGTTTGTGGTTCCATTATTGTACGATACTAATTATCGTACCTTCGTAATTGATATGACACATTATACGATACTACACTATCGTATCTTCCTATTTACTAATTATACGATACTGAATATCGTATCTACCGCGTTGAACTAGTGTACGATACTGTTTACCGTGCGTTATTGTGATTATTTGTCGCTGTACGGCTGAGTGAGTGCAGTGTGTATTGTGAGAGTACTTGTGAGCAGGCAGAGTTTATCACAGGTACGCCCTTGTAGGACTAGTCTGGTTGGCCGCCTCTATTTTACACTATACCACCCCAGTTCCTGTTGTGGAAACACTGCTTCCTAACCATATAAAAATGTTAAATCAAATACCACCACAGTTCCTTTTGTTGGAACTTGGAACACTGCTTCCTGGCACTTTTATTTGGTATCCTTCATCGAGAATCTCGCCATAGTTCTAATTCAAAATCAAAATGAATAAAACGTTTCTCAGCTTCATACTTCATAGATGTGTTTTAATATTAACATTAGTATAAGAGATTGTCAGTGATCTACAGGACAATACATTTAATTTTACACGATCATTCGATCAAGTAAACCAAAAATTTAATGCGGGTACTTTAAAAGGAGTTTTAATAGTCATTAGCCGTGCGATGTTTAATGAAGATCAAAATATAATATTTAATATGATAGCACTCTAAACTTGCCTCATATAGTTTATATTGAAATGTGCTTTGAAAATTTAATCAAAATTTCAACTAAAGCTCTACTCTAGCTGTAAACTAAGTGCAATTAGAAATTATACAGAAAAAAGATTAAAAAGGATATTAGAAAATATGATGTATCCTTATTCTACCGCTCCTGACAAATGTTAAATCAAGTAATACAGTAAATGAATGCTGGCACTTGGTAATTTATTTGTCTAACATTCAAATTTTTAGCAAAATCATGAAAACTCGAAAGAGAAACAAAAGAACATCCTCTCTAGATGCACCAAAGAATACAACGTCAGAGCAATCATCGAGGGTAAGTAACTGCATTATATCCTTGTCCGAGCTACTTCATAAAAAGTCGACTGTAAGCCTTCCTTACGGTGGCTTTCACAACACGTCCCTACGTCCTGTTGCTGGAGAGAAAGACTTCCAAACTATAGACCATATTCATATTAAAGTTTAAACATAGATATTGGCAACAGACTTGGAGTCTTGAAGCTCTGTTATCACCGCCCTTGGTGAAACCCCGTCGGGTTAAAGAAGAGAGACAGGGACTTCCAGGGGCGGTCGTGGCCTGATCACGATTTATGACCATCAATTATCTATTAATCATCTTTTTCCCTCAGCCAGATTCTCTGTCACTATCGATGTCTGCGATGGACAAGGTGCCTCATACAACCCACCTCAAAAAAGGGTAACCACATTTCTGAATTTGTTTAAAGCAACATTTTTATGCGAAAATATTTCGTGCAAATTATACCATAAACCTTGTGTAGCTGTTTAGTTCGTTTTCACAAGTAAACTGGTAAACCACTGAGTGTAGCGATTAATAGCACTATCCTGTACTTGCAACAAATTACTCACATTTACTATTAACAAATTTCTGGGAAGTTTGGGGCTTAGATGAGACTAAGGCAAAGATAATAGCTTTGGCAACGAAACTATTTGCAACTATAGCTGTATAAAAACTTAAATGATTACTCGAACATAACATAATATTCTTGCAGGAAAAAAATAAGACTAGTGCCAAGAGTATATCTGGATATTATCAAACTTAACTCTCAATCGCTCCTTGTTACTGGTGAGTTATGAGTTTTATTCTTCACGTCAACTAATAATTTAGCTTTGATGGCCGTTGTTGGCCATATCTTGGGAGAAGGTACGAAGATCAACTTAATAATTGGAATAGTATAATATCATGTAATTACTAAAACACATACGTATGTTCATGGTGAATGGTATATAATACCTATACTATATTTAAACTTGACGAAATCCCCAACTGCTAAAAACACTTTTTTTAAATTTTTTAAGAGAGGCTGGGCCTGGTTAGCCCACGAGAGGATAGCATATGGATGCTTTGCCTACCTCTGGGGTATAGCAGTCCTGTGGGAGGATGCCAATGGAATCAAGATGTGTTATCAAGGATGATGGTAAGTGTTGTAAAAACACTTAAAATTGGCTAAAACACTTTGGCCGTGATTGATATTTTGTTCATGCAGTTAAAGTAAAGTCCAGGGAATACTTAAAACTTTGTCGTCATCGTCATTCGTGAAAATACTTTTTACAAAATGGAGCTTGATGATGAAGAGAAATTAGAACATGACTGATCTTAAATTTCCTCGAATAAAGCTCTCAACTAGCGAATTTCTAGTATTGAATACTTTGCACTTTTCTAACATCTAGTGTTTTGATAGAAACGGCCGTATTCGGAAATAAATGACTCAGTTAATGTCAGAGGCTCACCAAGTATTAGAGGCTTCACGAAAATTGGAGGTTCAGCAATAATGGGCCCTTCATTGCTGCCGATTTGTGTTGAAATCGATACATGGTTCTTATTAGTCGGCTGACCAGATGGTAAAGTCGATTTTGTGCTTGAGCTGTTAGAAAATGCAGACAAATCTGGGGTAACTGCCGTCCACTCCATTTCAGAAAATTTGTAACGCTTTCCTTTGTTATGTACCCGCTGATGGCGCAGTAAGTTTTGTTTATAACGTGTACCGTAGGAGCATTCAGAACATTTATAAGGCTTTTCCCCGGTATGAATCTGCCGATGGGGAACTAAGTTATGTTTATGGCATGTACTGAAGGAACATTCAGGACATTTATAAGGCTTTTCTCCGGTATGAATCCGCTGATGAGCAATTAAGTTAGCTTTAAAACATGTACTGTAGAAGCATTCGTAACATTTATACAGTTTTTCACTGGCATTACTCGGCTTATCGGTGTATAAAGCCGATTTGGTGCTTGCGCTACAAGAACTTTTAGAGGATTTTAAACGCGTATGAGTTTTTTCCATCCACTCAGCTTTGGAAACAACAATTTGGCTGAGTTTTGAATTGGAGTTTGTTAATGCACTCTGTAAAGATATTTGGTCTTTATTCATGTCTCCAGCTATCATAGAGCGTTGGAATGAATCTTGGTTGGGATACTGCATTTGAAATTGAGAAGTAAGATCATACACTTCCGATTTAACATAAAGATCATCTTCCTCCTCCTTGAATTCGGCCTTGATTAATTCTGGTGGTATCCTATCTTCCTCCATTTTCATCTCATCTTTGATCGCTAAAAAATTTAGCGGCTCCATTGTTTCTGAAAATTAAACGACCATTTAAAATCGAGTTAGTGAAATCGGCAATAATATGTGAGCGATCCCGAAAACATTGTCAACATAGTTAAAAACAAACTGGAATGCACGGCAAAACAAAGTTTCACGACCAATTTTATTTCAATCAATTACAGTGTCAACTTTATCTGTTAATGTCTACACAATATAATGGAGGGGTTCGTAGTCCCCCAGCATAGAAAACCAACATAGAAAACCAACATAGCAAACCATTTGTTAATGTCCCGATTATCCTATTATACATACATATTCTAACCTCTTCGAAACGCGATCAAGTGTGTAAATAAGAAAATATTATTGAATAATGATCGGTTACTAGGGATGAGTTGAGAGTGTTCACCCACTATTAAACAAAATACATCGTGTATTGTTATTTTGTCGATGTTTAGGCTACATGCCTTTGTAGTTGGTCATAAACGAACTTTTAAATAAGTGTTCACAAAGCTGCAACACATAATGGTTAGAAAATCTATACAATATAACTAGGAATATCTTGAAAAGTACCTATACAAATTACAAACTAAATTGAAAATGTATATAATATACACTTTTCTGGGGATTTACTGAGAATAAGTAATAAGAATCGCTAGATTACTGTCATGATAATTCTTATTATTTATCATTTTATGGTCTGTCCGACCAAGGAACAAAACTATTTTTGAGTTTCAATTCTATAATCTATAAGTATAATGTTGCTGTAGTAAGCTAGGTATGTACAATACTGATATACTGACGCCTAACTTAATCATACTACTATTAAGTTACACGTTTACAATAACTTAACTACTTTATTTCTGGTCTTGTGGCTGCTATAATTCAAATCTTAATTTGGGCTGTGACTAACTGTTGTCTAGCCTAACGGAACAGAACCCTGTAACCCAGCTACAAAAGAGGGTATTAATGTGTGGTTCTATACTTTCTATTGGACATAGTCGACCATGCTCACTGCTCAACAGCTCAATGCTGTATGTGACCACTGACCGATGTGTTAACCATTTTAACCAGTTGTATTTTTGTCTATGAGCACAGTTTTTCAAGCCTATCTACCTTTTCTGATTTAATAATAGACCACTCAGGAATTCATGAACAGCTGCAATAAATTTTAGTGGTTGCCATGGAAACAGATCAAATAACTTACCACCCTAATGACCGTGATTGTATCTAAATCAAATTTCAGACCAGTATTTATTCTATTTAATCAGTCGAGTCATTGGAAGATTGGAACTTTCAGAGGTTTCGGCAAAAAGGTCGCATGTGTTGGAGGTGTAGTTATTACAAACAATCACATTACTAATCGAAATTTTAGGATTATATATCTCAAATTCAAGTGACACCAAAAACCTTTATCTCTCTTGCTGTCATAGGTTTTCCAGATAAGTTCTGGTCACGCGTGCACAATTAGGTAACCTGCTACTAGCAGGATCTGCTAGTATTGAACAAGTATTATTAGTTTACAGACACAGACACTATTGAAATTTAAGAAGTGAAATTAAGCGTCTCAAATACAAATACTACACTTCTGCACCCATGTTAGCAGTATAATAACTGATGAGTGCATCTGGTTCTAACTCATGTTACCCGGTATTCCACCATTACCACTAATTAGAGCTCTGAGACAAGGCTTTAGATAACTTTGATTTAAGAAATTATATGGTTTGAATAGAGAGACTGTTTGGAACTGGTTGATAACGAACATTAAACACACAAATCTTTCAAAACTTTTTAGCAAGCTAACACGTGTCGTCTGAAAGTGTCGTCTGAAAGTGTCGTCTGAAAGTGTCGTCTGAAAGTGTCGTCTGAAAGTGTCGTCTGAAAGTGTCGTCTGAAAGTTTCGTCTGAAAGTGTCGTCTGAAAGTGTCGTCTGAAAGTGTCGTCTGAAAGTGTCGTCTGAAAGATCGAACCTCAAATTTATTCTCGAACATTCTCAACACTTAGTCTAAAGTTTATTTCATCAAAGCTTTCTTTGGGAATAGAACTTTGAGTACCTCAATCGTGTCTTGTGCCATCCTCAGTTACCTTGTAAAATGGTCATTGAAGAAAAATTGATTCAAAACAGTGAAATTTGGGTCGCGGAAAGCTGAAAATCGAATAATATGTCCAACCGGTAGGACATATTCAAAATTTTCATTGCATCAAAGTTTTCTCCGGATATACAGGTTGCAGTACCTTGATGGCGACTTGTGTCACTCTCACCGACCTCTCTGAGGCTTCTTAAGTCTACAGATAACCATTCTTAAGTCTACAGGTAACCATTATGTACAAGTAAGAGTCATCAACTGGAAAGTGCTGGGTGATGTTTGTTGGCTTTATACCGAATTGGTATGGCGATTACAATTTTTGTAAATAAAATCCCAGTCCCGGTCTTAATCCTTGTTCCGGGTCTGTAAAGAAATGAGCGATCGAGCTCGTGAAAGAACTGCAACGGTGGTTCATTCAAATACTCTACATACTTCAAATACTTTGTCTAGTGCTATCAATATATTAAAATTCTAATAATATATTAGTATTCGTGTCTTATTCTTCCATATTCAACAGTCAACACCTACCTAGAAATAAGACATAGGGAATACTGCTCACAGCTGTCGTAATAAATATAATATAAGTAATGATGATTTAATTTCAGTTAAAGCTGCGCGGCATCTTTATGACGGAAATGGAACAGGTGAGTAACATATCTGAGATCACATTTTTATTATCTAATACATTTAAATTTCCTTTTTGATAATGGAGGATCCTTAATAATATGATGTATTAATGCTTTTCATACTAAGTTACAACAAAGTCTTCATGTTATGTATCCTGGGTTTGGACAGGATATTACCCGCTTAAAATATTTCCATCGCGTTACATAATACTCAATAAATGTAATAGATATTGTAGTGTTGTAATTAGTTTAAAACCAATCTTCAGGTGTAGACTCGTATGTAAGGGTTCACATTACTGGGCAACCTCCTGAAGCTGACTGGTAGGAGTAATTTACAGATTTTAATCAACTTCTTGCCTCAAGTTAATTTTGATCTAACCTTTAGATATAGTAATTTTGTCTCAAAAACTTAAAATAACTTAATTTTCAGGGTCACTTACACTAGGATAAACGATGCAAATCCTGTCTATAACGAGCCCTTTAACATGTTAGTCTCCTTTTGTACATTTCTTATTATTGTACACTACTTTAATTGTAGCTACCATTTCACAGCATAAAATGTACAAAATAGGATGTATCGTATTTTTAATGGCGTGACATGTTTAAGATAAGGGTAAAGGCTAGATAAGAAGATACGAGATAAGATAAGAGATTTGACTTTCGTTCTATAGCTCTGCAATTGCCACTATTAGCTGTGTTATTTATACAGAAAACTGAAATTTCATCCTCAGTGACATTCTGGAAACATTACTGCTAGCACATCTGCAAGTTTCCATCTGGAGTGTGAATAAAGATAAAAGTCATCAATGTATGGGCTGCATGTCCTTCCCCTTTCATATGATCAATGTTATGGTGAGTAAAGGTCGTTTTAGTGCTTCGTGGTTATCTAATCAGATTCAGAGTGCAGTCAGGAGCACAACAACAGATGATGATGCAACATACATAGAATCTGAGTTATTACAAACGTTGTACATATAGTTGGTTGATGGTTCTCATAAGGTTGCTTTCTTGTTTGACCCAGAAACTGCGCGCGCGGATTTAAATTGTTATTATGCTATGAAAAGTGCCCTATCGTTCATTCAGTGCGATTTTTAAAAGATTTATTTTGGCCGTTCAGTCCTGTATCTGACTGAAAAGCCGCACAATGTTTTGAATATACGAGGTTTGTGATGTTATTTGGGTTAATTGGGGTCTATAGATCAAAAAAAATGTGGGTAGACAAAAACGTATGTGTCCACCAGGTCTGTGGCCACGCCCTTTTATATGATCGTGGGAAAATCTTACCTTTTCCTATAATATAAATTCATATTTGCAAAAACATTGCTTCCGTTTTTGGGAATTTTGACGCTAAATTGTAAATATGGGCGTGGTTATCTTATCTGGGAGTGATCTGAAAGTCAAATAGATATCACCAATCGATTTCTTGGGTCAAAAAACATTAGTTTTAATACCCTACAAGCTTCCTTTGATTGAGCAAATATGAATTTATATTAGGAAAAGGTAAGATTTTCCCACGATCATATAAAAGGGCGTGGCCACAGACCTGGTGGACCAATAAATTTTTGTCTACCCAAATTTTTTTTGATCTATAGACCCCAATAAACCCAAATAACATCACAAACCTCGTATACTCAAAACATTGTGCGGCTTTTCAGTCAGATACTTAAGATTATTTACAGACTTTGGCGGTTTGGTTCCCTTTGCTTGACTTGAATAAAAAGCAAATCGTTTAAGTTTCTAGGAAATTTGTAGTTTATAGTTAAGTACTCGAAATACTTTTAGAATATTGACATACTGGTATATCCTAACATCCTGCTCGACATACGACCTTGTGACCGCTTCTAACGCCAGAGAGCATTCTAACTTTGCAGTTTGCTACTTCTCTATCTGCCCCCACCAAATATTAAGGGACAGGACATTCATATGATCTGTTTATCATCATGTCATAAGTGGTCACTAGTCTGCGGACTGGACCGCAGACTGGTCCGGCTTCTTGGATTCCGTAAATTGTTAAATGCTCCCTCATTCATAGAAGTGAGCACTTATAACACCATAACATTATAAATGTTTCAATAGCCATTCGTAATAGTTATTGTGCTCATTGACGACTCTTATTTCTGCAGAACAAGCGGTTGTTAGGATGGTTTGAGTTGCTGGACACGACACTCGGCCAGACTGATTACAGACCTTTCGTAACTCTCGACTGTAGGTAAGGTATTGTTTCTTCTCACTTCTTTTAACAATTAAATTGTAGCCAAGTTATTCATGCTCGAATCTGTATTGGTGTGTTTCTTAAAACTGATTATTTGGTTCAAGAAGAACATTCCTTTTATTTTCACCTAGTCTTATAGGAGTAGCTAAGGTCCATTGGATCTATGCGATCTCCTCGGTCGATTCAGCCAAATGATAGGAAACTTAATAGAGGGTTAAATGAGGAGGGGTACCTGTTAAAAGTTCAAGAAACTTCCTAGGATACCCCTTCAGTGCATTCTGTAAACATAGTACTATTAACTATTATTAACTATTGTTTATCAGTTTCTCTTTCGGCTGACTGATGCTTGCCTCGAATTATTTGTTATGTTATGTTCACTGAAATTCACATGCGAGATTCCGTGATAAATCAACGAATTTATAATCGATTTCCAAAAATTAAATTTAAGATTGAATAGATTGAAGTAACCAGATTCGATTGAAACATAATTTATTGCTGATCTACATTGAATGTTATTCACGAAGCTAATCTACTTTTAGGTAACTTATTGAATCCTTCACGCCACATGACGATCTCGAACGATTCGATTATGCACAGTAAAACTTTTTGTACTGAGCAGAAATTTAATTTAACCTCGGGTCATGTTATAAGTTATTTTCTGTACGGCTCTATATGTGCTTATTGGCTGTGTCTGGGAATGAAAACCTAGAATTTTACACTTGGTTGAAATTTACTTTTCAATTTATTTTCTAAGGATTATAACATGTAGCCGGGTCTGAACCGACATCATGTCAATTCCCTGGACAATATGAAGTTAAAAGTAAGCAGTAATCGTGTTTAGGGCCATTTAATGTGATATGCTGGGGTACAAGTATCACCCTTATCATCTTTCAAATCCAATAAAACGGGAGCCGGTCTCTTTAAGGGTTTGTTTTACTAAACTGTGCACCATGTTAGCTAGAATATCTCCGCTCAAGTCAGTTTCGTATTTCATATTCTTGAATTACGACCGATAAAAAACACTATATTTTCTGCTAAAGCTATTCTCATTGTGTTTTGACAACGTTCACCGGTAAAACTATTCGTTTCGGTTGTCTTGAATCACTTCATTCGTGCAGTAATTTGTAACACGCAGGTTACAAAAACATTTGTAACAAAGGTTTAAATTTCTGATTTGGTACTCGCGTTATATTCATAATGTAAAAATGATTAAAAATGCGTTTGATCTAATTGAAGATTATTATTCAAGCTATAAAATAGCCTTTTATCATATCGATCTCCTGTTTGCAATTATTTGTAATTGTATCTTGTAGGATATCACAGAGTAGCGAGGTAGGACATTTTGCTGAGATGCAACTTACATCCAACACTGAAACACTGGAAATACCTCGCCGGAAAGCAGTTATTGAACTCGTCAACTACACAAGGAGATATCTCATATCCATCGTCAACAAGTACAAGGTTAAATATTCAGGTCCATAAACTTTTTGATAATGTGATCCTTGCTAGGTTCTTCTCGTTATTTAGATATGAAATGCCAGCTAGTGAGTTGATTTAAAATCTTTTACCCATACTTCCTCAATTAAAGAGTTATCAGGTGATGTAAATTAACCTTTTCCTTAATGTTTATTTCAGATTTACTGCAAAAGTTTGAAAAGTTACCTCTCTTTGTCACACTACAACGCACTGTTCAACAAATTAGAACTTGTCATTCAAACACAGGTTATTTTTTGTAAACTTCTTTATCAAAACGAATTAGAAGCTAGAATGAATTAAAACGTTTGTAACATATAAAAACATTGTTGGACCGTTTCTCACTCTATTGCTGACTATTAAATAGCTAATGTGTTAAGTTTTGGAGATTATTGACGGTTTTGACTGCTGGCCATATCTCTAAACTGAACATTCCTCATTATCAGATCAATATGTTTGACTACATAAAGCACTGTTACAACGGCAGATACGCTCTAGGCTCTGTTCTTCGGAGTTGGATTCCAGAACTTGTTTGCGTGATAGAATACCAGAGACACAAGGTAATTAGTTATTACGTCTTACATCCTCAGTCCTCACTTCTTTCTTGTAGGAGATATTTGTGGACCTTACAGTTAGGTCGTATATTGTCAATAGATATTATGTTTTATACTTTGTACTTTAATGACTGCATCCCAGGATCACTGTCTCAGAATGCTGCAAGATCTAGAACAAAGTGAATGCCCTGACGTTATCGATATTATCAAGGTTTTTGTCTAAATAGCAATTGATTTTTATCACAAAGTAGCAGCACTATCCGTGTTACCATGCTAGTAATGTCGATGGTATCCAGTATTCACTGTAAGTATTGGAATTTCGAACACTGCATGATGCTTTCTCAGATTACAATTTGAACAGAAGAACCAATCTGTGTTATTTCAGGATAAGTTAAAGGAGTATTCAGCTCTGTTCTCAATGCCACTCACCTACATAAAGAATCTAGCTAGATTCATCAGGAATGTTCTCCACTACACACTGGAAAAACACCCAGATTACGCAAACATGACCTGGGTCAAACAATACGTTTACTGGTAAATACACAGACTTTTTGAAATAACAAACAAATTTATTGTTTATGCGGGGATGGTCATGGAGCACACTGACAGAGCAATATTTAAAGTGGGCAAAAGAGTAATCACCGCAATGAATTCCCGTGTGCAACTCTTTATTTATCTTTGCAGACATTGTCACTGTTATATTAAGTCGATCTTGGAAAAATGTTGATGGATAATACCGTTACATAGTTACATGCACGATTCTGTGTTGGGTGTTTGCGCCGAACTCTGCTAACAAATTATTCTTGAGCTGTGCAGCACTATTCTTACCCAATGATCTCTATTCCAGGCTAGAGGTACAGGTAGAATCTCCACAAAGAATCTCCCATAATCAGACTTTCAACCACAGCATCCAAGTTATTGACAGATCCTTCACTTTCTCTATGCCAGGTTACTTGTCATCCTATTCATTATTTCTATCTTCATCATGATAATCTGTATTACTCTTTAACTGTTTAAATGTGATCTGGTAACATTTAAATTATAACGAACCAGGGCATCAACATTTGACATATTCATTATCCATATCTTGTTGGCCTCATACCTTTTGACAGCTTCAGTGAGGATCCCCACCCTTTCTGTCTGTGGATGTCTTAAGTAATGACATGATAAGTTACATGAAGTAATTAACTTCACTTCAAAGAATTCTTTGAAGTGAGGTTAATTACTTCATGTTCAGTTTCAAATAGCCAATTGGTAAATGAAAATATCTCAGAAGATTACCACGAGGACGATTTTGTGGAATATGATTGGGAAGATTTAGGGGAAATCAGTTCACTTCCAGGTAAACATTTCATTTATTTTCTAATACAAGTTTTTTCAAAATCCTAAAGATCAAAAAGTGAAAAACTGTGATTAGTGCACAAAAGGATCTAAAAAGACCTGGTGTCTTCACTTTAAGTAGGTCTTTCCGGCAACTAGAGTTTACGTGTAATGGATCGCATGGTTTGTGGTAAGTAACAGGCCACTTCAACCAATTATCTTGTTCTTCAGTCTGTAGATGCTGTTCGGCTTCTGTAATACAGATAACAGTAAGACTTAATAATATGTGTAAAGATATATTAGTCTGTAGCTCCTCTTTTAAGCCCCTTGGATAGAACACTGGGATTTTAGAACTGTGATTTAAGGAGTACAGTAAAAGCAAGATTTACCGCGCTCCAATTTACCGAAAACCCCGATTTATCGTGACTATTTCCCGTGGTAAATAAGTGTTTTACTGTATAAGGTCACATCTTCACTGCTTGCTTCCCGTTGTTAGCTTTTCAATTTGCTCAAAGAAAAATAAAGACTTTTACGGGTCCTGAGAACTACACTTTACCTTGGTTGTTTGAACTACACACTTTGGTAAGCAGTACGCACATCATAGAGTTGATGGTTGGAAGGGGGTTGGTTATCAACACTCGTAAACCGTGACTTCAGTAGCGATATGCAATCAGTCGGATAAGCCAGAAACGTTAAGCTATAAGGAATGATTGAGTTGTTCATCGCTCTTTGTTTTGGTCGCGGTGGATTTGTGGCCTCATGGCCTGGAAAGATCGAATGTGTTTCCTTATACAGCTGATTGCTCCTGCCTCCTTCATGAATTAATCTACAGCTGATATTTGAAACCGTACCAATGTTTCATGAACACCCTGTTGAGTGTTGTGCGAGCTTAACCTGAGTATGATAGCTTAAATCTATTGCTCCGACCACTCCCAACTTCCAGTTCCAAGAGTGTATTATTGCCCCTTATATTAAGTAGTTAAGCCCATTTATTACTCAACTGGCAAGGTTAACAATTAGATAACTTATTCCTACACCTCACTTATAACCACTATTCCATCTTTAACAGTGTTTTAAGCTGACTAATATCATACACCTCCATATAACTACTGATTCTTCGTGGTCGAGCTGCAGGAGTCACTTCCGATTCAAGCAATCTCGCGATATGATGGATATGACTCCTTGCATAAAGTTGCTAACTGTATTGTGTAGAGAGCAATAGTATCACGACCCTTGCTTCGTATGAAAAATTGAATTTTTAATCAAATGACATTAAATTAAAAAACTAAACGACATTATACCCCAAGAAGACATTTCATTGCTGTATGACTCATTATTAATTTCCTGGAGCAAGGTGCTATCATTTTATGGTCCCATCTTTGAATGACAGCAATTGCCATTGTCGAAAAAATGAGGGACACGAGAAAATTAATTTCTTCTCGGTTCACTAATTTAGTGCTGTCTGGAGTATCACCCCATCATTGCTGCATTATACCAAAGAAGGAGACTGCATTTCAAAAGAATATCGGTCTCTTGGTCATTACACGCACTGTCCCCTGTGCTCACGAGCTTTTGCGAGGTTGTATCTTGGTTGTATAATGTATATTATTATAGTTAAGATATTTGTTCCTTTGTTCCTTGTAACTTTGTTCCTTGTATCTTTGTTCCTTGTATCTTTGTCGTATCTTTCTTTCTTTTTTTCTTAGTCGAGTATCTTTGTCACGATATTTTGCGATTAATATTATTCCAATATTCGTGATTTTTATTTAGCTTTTCTACCAATTTTGACGATTAAGGTGCTACTGTTTCGTGTTGACCTCCAAAAACAAAACATTTTTAATTTCCAATCTCGAATCACTTTGTAGTACATCCTCGCGGAACACTTCCAGACAACATCCCGGACCTTGGACCTTGGTTAACCATTCGTTTAAGAGCCAGCACAATTACAAGCAAGTGTCAGATATTTTCCACCGCGTCACTAAACTGATCCATCTGGAAATATTAATATGGTATGACAGTAAATGTGAGGGTTCGTAATAGGACAGTTTCCACTGCTCAGATTCCACTGTTCAGTTTCCAAAGCTCATTTCAGTAATATAAGATTTGGAGGTCGTTTCATCGCGCCCTATCAAGACTGTAGACTCAGTCAAAAATACCAAATACATGCCTTGGTTGTGTTGAATTGTGTATGCCTTGCTCTCTATTGACCAGAACATTCTGAATTACCTATGGAATACTAATTGTATATTCAGTATCCGGATAGGAACACTGTTTATTCGTTGAATTTTTGGTATGGTAAGTCAAGCATCCGAAATGTTGAACAATCAAGTATATACTACTTAGTACTTTTCACTAAGAAGTTTCTTTTGAACGCTTAAAACTAATGTAATTGTTGAAGAGTGTTTAGTTAGTAACTTCCTCTCAACCCTTTAATATAAAGATTCTTCTTTCATCAGTAAACAAGATACTATCGAACCAATCATCAATCAACTGATAATACTGATTACAGTTGCTAAGTGTAATAGCAATATCCTGCACGCTATTTAAGACTATTTAAGACTATTTAAGACTATTTAAGACTATTTAAGACTATTTAAGACTGACGAGTCAGAAAAAGTTTAAATACATTATTTAGAGTGTCCAGCGAGTTAGATCCTCTCCAGCTATGTCATTAGCCCTACTAATATGCTTCTACTGTCGATAAGTCAGCTACTTTCTAACTTTCGTCAATCAACTGACGATCGTTTAGTTCTTGAGAATGCACTTTGATTACTTAGTATTGAGCTAACGGGACAGTGTTACCAATCCTCTGATCACTTTCAGATTGATAAGGTGCAAACTGCAAACATATCCACTGTTTCTAAATACAGCTCTATTCATCATATCATATCGTGGATAACAGGCATTGCAAAGTAGGGTGAAGTATTACCATAACATTTAATGTGCCTGGATTTATAAGATTTGATTCATTTCTGTAAGCCGGTGTTTCCATTGACCGTCAAATTCGTATTTTCCTCGGGGAGCCTGTAGAGTGTAGGCTGTAGATGGTGGATATACTGAATTATGGGCTGCAGTCTGCACAATATTCGTTGAGTAACCGGGAGTAACCGGTTTAATGTTTAATGTTTTAATGTTGCAAAAGAAGGCCCCCCCCCCCCAAAGAAGTCTGCGTACATGGCTTGGGTTAATTTTAGTGCGATCTTGTGCGTTGTTGTTGGCTAAAAGCTTGGTCATGTTTTTAAAAATCGTACATCTATTTGGCCGTATACGGGGGGGGGGGGGGGGGGGGGGTCAGGTACTAAGGTCTGTGCGTGATGGTACTAACTGTTGAGAAATCACGGTACTAACTGAGTCTTGGTATATAAAATAAGATACCCACCCATAAATCGCTTTAAACAGCTCATTAAACATTGGGAAATGGGGAAAAAACCCAAAAAAAACCCAAAAAACCCATTCCCAAAATTGAAATTTGAGGTAAAATGGGTTTTTTGGGGTTGGAGACCTCCCTTAGTACTATGTGCTAACTGTTTTTCTGGGAAATGTACCATGTACTAACTGTGTTTTGGAAGAAAATATGACCCGCCCCCCAACGTCACGTACGGTACTAAGTGTATGATCCCCCCCGGCCCCCCCCCCCCCCCTGAATAATTAGGACACTCATGACACGCCACTTCTTGGGTGGGAGGATATTAAATACGAGTGGGTGTAGTTGTCAAAAAATTAATTATTTTGTATACAACGTAGGTGGTTTAAGACGTCAAAATTAATGCTTATACATATACTAAACGTATTCACTCACCTTCCTTTTGCAGGTGTTTAATATAAATATGTTCTTGATATAAGTGAGTAAGTGGGATAAGTATTGCAAGAAAGTGAGCCAGATAAATAATTTCCCCCGCATTTTTCAACAGAATCATTCAGAACTTCCCCATATTTATGGAGGATTTCACCCGTTTTTAATATGACTGATTTTATCGTCTTTTTGACGTTTTGCTAGTTTAAATATATTACGATTTCAGACTTCCACCACCATTACATAACGTAATTTTCAAGCACCTTATTAAGCTTTATTATCCAATGCTGTCAATCTGATATCGAATAAATGACCGTTTGCAACCCGAATGACAGGACAGTGCTGCAAACGCCTTACCGCGCCACCACTCCCATTTGCGTCAGTCTTGCATTATCCCATCCATATTTGGTACAAATACCTTGAGATTTTGAACCATGCTTAATCGCCCATGTTTAAAAAATCACTGGATCTTTATATATATATACCTAAGAAATTCATTAACATTAATGTTCATTGAATTTTGCGCATAGTTTTACAAGTTGCAGGAGATAATAAGCCTCTGGTGTCTTGTAGATTTCTCTTGTAGATTTCTTTTATATTATCAATAGCATTTGCTTCTGCGTCCAAGCATAACCAGTCGATTTTCTTGATCCAAGTTTTTGTTCATATATTGAATAATATTTTGTTGGAATGATTTTGAATATTAGTCTACGGATTTAATAGTTTCGCTCTTAATATCTAACATTAAATTATTGTACTAAAGATTCCAATGCTAATTTGAAATCTCAACAATAACACGTTTAACTTCAACACACTGAAGTAAAGAATAAAGCCACATTTACATATAGTTACTATAGTAACTATAGTTAAGTAAGTTACTATAGTTACTATAGTTACTATAGTTACTATAGTTACTATAGTTACTATAGTTACTATACCGCGGGGGCCTCATTAATGGTGGAAATGTGGCTGATGTTTGAAGTAATTCTGCTATCAAGTTTAGTCTCATTATCGCCTGGTCCAAGGTTGATGTTGTTAGTTGCTACCTATATAGGACAAGATGTTTCAATAATTATTATAATAAAATAACATCTGTTGTCCCTCTTTATATGTGCTAGTCACTGTCCCTTTGTCATATGATCACTAGCTAGAAGTTGACCTTGTTTGTTACCATGGAAAATTGATAACTATATCAGTAATACTAGTAACATAGTTGTCAGTTGTTAATTAATTTACGTTCACTATGCGAACCTTGAACCGTTTATGGGAGACTATTGACCAAGGTTCTGGTAATTTGTTCACTTTTCTGTGTGATTCCCACTGTACTCAGTTCCTCCGCTCTCTTTATTTCCTTTATTATAACATTATCATGACACTTCTGAGGCTAATCCTTTAGTCGTTCTATGACTCCATAGTCTTTTATTGTAAACTTCGCCATTTTGCTCTTCCTTGCTTGTTTGTTCTAGTTGTTTTCATCTCCTTGACACACCCATAATCCTTAAAGCTGACCATGAAGTTGAGGAAGAGGCTTCTCAGAAGATTTAGATCTTATCAGCTTGTTGGAAATGATGACAAACGTGCATCCTCAAGGGCTTTACTACGATGGTGCTCCTGTTTTTGTGCCCAAGGTTTATTGAACTCACAGTTGTAATACCTAATTTCATCTGGTACCATTTAATTGGCTGAGAAGTTTTACCTCAAATTATTTAATCCACTGGGTTTTATTCCTGCTTCACCAGACGTTACGTATATGCAATATGCGTCTCTTTTGGCTAATTGCATGAAAATTCGGTTGAAAGAAGGGTTAAGAAATACCATATTTAGTTAATGTAAGCTAAATATTTTTCTCTATGTCTAGGTTCACTTTTAAAGTAATTATTTTAGTGGGAGAGAGTTCAATAATTTTATTATATGGCCAGGTAGCGCAATTGGTTAGAACGCCAGCTTTACAATCGTGAGGTTGTGAGTTCGAATCCCACTGTCTGCCTGGTCGGGGGGTGAGCGTCGTTGACGTTTAGCTAAGGATCCTGAGTGGTCTATGCAGAAATCGGGTGTGAGGGTTAAATAAGGAGCTGCACATTGCAGCCAAGTCTCGGGCGAAGAAAGTATGGTACACACTACCTTAACCGTCACTGGCCAAATAAATCCTTCGGCTTCCTGTAATTGGCTGGTTGCACTTGTGTAACAATGTGGCTGTTGGAATACACCGAAGTAAAATAAGTGTCTTGATTTTAAAAAATTGACCAAACCAATCTTTCATTGGACCGAGGAGAACAAGAACAAATTTTCTTGTCCTATTTTCTGGTCTTAACTCGGTGTAATCTGAAATTTTCACCGCTTCTAATCTGATTTAATTTCAGACAGTCCGGATTACTCAGACCCTCCTAGTGAGCAAGAACACGAAGGTAAGTTGCTTTAAACTTTAAATGTTATAGCTTATTCAACAGTATTAAAATCTGTATTGATCAACAGCGGCTATTATTATATATTAATTAACTCTGAGAAGTTGTTGTTATAATATAAATAATGCAGTAAGTATAGGGCGCTCCTAATAAATCAGATTCCTTTAGGAAAAAATACACTCAAAAATATGACATATTTTCTATACAAATGAGCACAGATTTGATTGGGATATTTTCTACAGAAACGCCGGATATGATGGTTGCTGAAGGTATTAGTCACAGTGCTGTTAGCCAAGAAGGAATGCCAGTGGTAGTCGAAGAAGAAGAAGGAGATGTAGAGTTCGAGTGGCCGGTGGTACCGCCCGATGAACTGGAGATAGACGATGAAGTTCTCCTTACCAACCAGGTGCGATACTTGTTAACAATCTTTGTTAACAACATGTGCCATTTCCGATTTAAAAAAATTCTGATTAATTTATTTTATTAACTATTAAGAAAATATGAAAAAATAAATAAAAAGGAGTAGTCATGTTATTGGGGAACTTCAAACTCTTGACATGTTGTATTTTCAAACTAAATTTCAAAATTGTTCAACAATTTCAAAATTCAGAATTAAACTAGAATCATTTGTTAAGTATCAAAATTGAAATATGCGTCCTCAGAGGACTGCCTCACTGGCAAAGACCTTGGACCAGGTTATCGAAGTGTTCTCGTCGGTCTCTAAGAAGAAAACCACAGGTGCCTTACCCCTTCCAGATAGTTCTAACTGGAAAACAATCCAGAAACTTGTTCTTCCTTCAGGTACTAAAATCTCTATATAAAGTATAATACCGACTTTATAATTTGCAAATTGCTGATTAATCAAAATTATAAAGATGAAGATTATCGAGTGCGGTGCAGGGCTGCAGCATCCCACTTCCATTATTCCATATAAGGATTCAGCGAGAAATAAACGGAATGATTATTAAATTTTATCACAGAAAATTTTTAATATTGACCAAACCACCCCACACCCATAATTAGAGTCAACTTCTACTGACGTCACTAATGACGTCACTAAACGTTCCTTCCTCCACAGATCAGTTAGAAGACGGCGGCTCGACCTGTGAAGACAAACTGATCCCCTCAGACTGCTCAGATGAAGAGGGATTGGACGAGGACGAGGAGGGTCTACATATCTCAATCAACCAGACTGAACCTTACTATTATCAAACTAATCCAGAATGTATTGCTGATAAGAGACCAAGCAAGGTTGGTATTTAATTTTAACATTGCAGACGGTTATCCGGGACAGAAATGGTAAATGCATTTTTTGAACTTCAGTTGATTTATGGAAATCGCAAATGACAGTTAATGCATTCGAATGCCCTGTTCCTAATTCCTTATCAAAACATTAACCAAAACACCCTCAGGAGAGTTTGAACGACTCAGCTGTAGGATCAATAATAGAGTTTGATGTTGACGAGGTTCCAGCAATAATACCCTTGGATCACTCACCCAAGGGGCATCACACCTTCAGCTACAATCACCTTAAATCTTCGAACAGCGGGAAATCTTCACCTTCCTCCAAACGATCTAACGACTCCATAAACAATCAGAGATCACAGTTAAACTCTCGTTCAGACCTCGAAAACTCGTTAGTAGTAAACGGAGCTAACAATCTTCTAACTCCTTTAAACTCTAGACGACTCGGTTCCCAAAAACGGTCCAAGTCCACCGTGGTGAGGGGAGGGACCAGCCACCACACGCCTGATCTTAGTATCAGGAGGATTTACGCGGTTAAGTCATTGAATGATATCGTGTTTTCTGAGGATGAATATGATTTTGCTGCGGTGTGATGGTAGTTGTCATCCAGCTGAGTGTTTTTATCAAAATTAAGGCCTTTTTCAGTATTTTGTTCATTGAATTTCATAGGTATTGGAATTCTTGTATGCTATAGTATGCTGTTAGAGTTTCAGTGGCGCATTAGATAGTATGCTTTGTATGTTTTTATGGGACCTTCTAAATTGTGAACAAATGTTATCAGAAGGTGTATATTTCATTATTGAGGTGTTGAATGTTGATTTAAAGTGGCAAAAAGATGATCATGGTTAAGTGCTCAAACTCGTCTAATTGCAGATTTGGGTAAACTGGCTAAGATTCGACTAAAAGTAATGATAACATGCTTTTTAATTTAGAGACTTGCTTTTAACATTAAATGTTCTTTATAATCAAACATTACAACTTTTTGACCGGTGAATATCAATAAAAACTTAGTAAACTGCATCCAAAATGTGTGTGTGTTTTTTTACAGTTTGATTGCAATAACATAATAGTTGTGAATAAATAAATGAAAAAGAATGCGTTATTTTCTATTTGAACATGTTTTCGGTTTCCCTCTGTACAATAAATTATTATGAAGTTTGAAAAGATGTTTAGAGTGAATGAAACCCAGGAAAAGTTACCGGCTGGTGGTGGTACTAGAGTTGGTTTAATTTAAACAGACGGCTCGACCTCGCGCGCGACAACAAGCATGTGATTTGCACGCGTGGCGTATTCCAATGTTCAAGCAGCTACCACGTGACACAATTCAGCCAACCAGAGTACAGGAATCCGCAAAGTTAAAGTTGCAAACTTTTGATCGGCCCGAAAGGGGACTTTTCTGGAGATTTTGAGATAACTCAACAATTACGTTGTCTTGAATTTTCCTCCTGGAGAGGTAACGTTACTTTTAAAAGATGAACATGTTACAAAAAACCGGAAGTCTCCAACTCTTTTACTTTCAAAGTTAAGCCCCATCCGGTCAGGGTTCCTGGGTGCAGCTGGCTGACGCTGAGTAGGGTGTTTTGGCCGTTCTAACTTAAGACTTTTAAGAATTAAAGCAGCCGTATTGATCTTCCAAACCTACAACTTTCAAGGGCTAGAATTCGCTGTATTTTGCCGTTAAAACACAACTTGTACTGTTTCACTTCACGATTGGGCCGTAATTCAAAAGCAAATTGGCAAGAAGTGGTGCTCACGGTCTCACTTAACGTCACTTATCGCTCAGTTAAGAGCGACCATGGTCTTAAGCGACAAACAGCCTGCAGGCATATGATCCGAATACGAAATATCCTTGTGTTCGGCATTTAGTAGCCCTAATTGGTTGATCGAAGAACCCAGGAAAAGTTACCGGCTGGTGGTGGTACTAGAGTTGGTTTAATTTAAACAGACGGCTCGACCTCGCGCGCGACAACAAGCATGTGATTTGCACGCGTGGCGTATTCCAATGTTCAAGCAGCTACCACGTGACACAATTCAGCCAACCAGAGTACAGGAATCCGCAAAGTTAAAGTTGCAAACTTTTGATCGGCCCGAAAGGGGACTTTTCTGGAGATTTTGAGATAACTCAACAATTACGTTGTCTTGAATTTTCCTCCTGGAGAGGTAACGTTACTTTTAAAAGATGAACATGTTACAAAAAACCGGAAGTCTCCAACTCTTTTACTTTCAAAGTTAAGCCCCATCCGGTCAGGGTTCCTGGGAATTTGTAATACATGTATTTAATTCAATAAATCAATATGCTGTGCTTTCTTTATCTGTCAGGAAAGTCAGTGTTTTGTAAGCACCGAAAAATGACTTCAAATCAGTCAGTAAAATAATGATGGGTATTTTAAGCTTGCATCTCTAAATCTAATCTGCGATTCGTTTTTATAAACCATCATTGGGCAAAGGCCGTAATAATGAATTGCAAAAGCGAACGAACGATATTGTCATTGATTTAAATCAAGAATGAATATTGTATTGAATTGCACCAACGCCTCACTGCAGTTCAATTTCTTCAGTGTGGTCTGCATCACGCGATCTTTTCTCACTCCGAAACTGCGCAATTCTGTTTTTCGATTTAACCACAGAATCTCTGAACTCCTTCATTCTTGCATAATAGATTATTGGATTCAAACAGGAGTTTATGGCAACAAGCAATGTGGAGCAGGTAACCCAGAGGATCGAAATGGTCACCAGCGGTCTTGGTTTGACTGAATCGCAATTGTTAAGTTTAACGTCTCTTAGTCTTTCTGTGATGAGAAAGAAATTCCCAAAGTGGTTTGACCAGACATAAAGGTAAAAACACAGCACTGGAATGTTACAAAGAATGTAAATTCCCGTAATGATTATCACTGTTAAAGTTGCTTCTTGAAGCTTACTTTTTTTGTTGGACACGGATGATTTCATATTTCTTTCCTTCTTCTGAGCAGCTTTCAGTTTGTAAACAGAAACAACGAAGCTCCCAACAATAGGAACAACTGGTAGACCCAGAAGAATGGTAAAGAATACTGACTGATAAAATGCATAGTTCGAGTCTTCTGTGTCAGACAGAATATAACAAATTCCGAGCCGCTCGTCGTGCCTATATTTCACATCATCGTACACTGATGGGGTTGTTGCGAAGTGAGCAACTAGCTTCTCAGTGATCATAAGAAGTGTAAGGGCAGCTAGGAAGATGGCAGGTTTTCTGATGGTGAGCTTTTTGAGGGGGTAGAGAAGAATCAGACATCTAGAGAAGCTGAGAATGGCCACAAGAAATACAGACAGGACAGGAAGAATGTTCCAGAGTAGTCCCCAGATGGTACAGAAAGTTGGGTCATCAAAAATCACCGACGTTATGCTGTCATCATTCGTGATATTGCTCTTAGTATCATCCTTCTTGAGTATGCCCTTAACTCTGTAGGCGCTTTCGATCAGAGGGAAGACCAGGAAGCAGATGAGAAAATCAATGAAAGTTATCATCCGGTAGAGATAGGTCATGTAGATTTTATTAGCAGCTGCTCCGGTTTTACGTTTAATGAAATACAGAAATGATAAAATGTTAGTCGGTGTTCCAAATACCATGCAGATTGTGCAGATTACCCCAATGGTAAGTCTGACTGTAACTATCGTAGCTACAAGATCTTTATCGAGACAGCGCATCTTTTATCTCAAAATCTTCTATGGATGGTAAAATCTATTATTTGAAATAGTTAAATTTAAATATATATAATAATCGTTAGTGTCATTACATCAATAATTGTGAGTCTCATTACTATACAGCCTTAATATAATGCATAACCAACATATCAAAACCGTTCAATCCTTATGAATTACGAATCATAAAACCAATTATTTACTAATTAATTACTAATTAATTACTAATTAATTAGTAATCAATCACTAACACTTTGAACGACAACTCACAACAGATACAGAGTAAGACATGATGAAGTTCAGAATGGTCACAAGTTTATGACTTGTGTGATCATTTTATTTTCACCATTTAAATAAAAGAACAAGGGATGTAGAAAAATCGCAGTTGTAAGGTCTCACATTCTCAATTCTACTGAGCAACAGGACTAAATTATGGGTATTTAAAGCTATAAATGATAGTAAATAGTAATTACTAGATCGTGAATGATAGTTCTCCAGCTAATGTTGACAATAATTATAGAAATAAAATAACGTTCGGTGGAAAAGACACCTGGCAAAAGCACATGCTCTGCAAATAATCACTTCAATAAAAGACGTAAATATGGGTTCATCGTAAAATCTAAACATATGCTTGGAACAGCAGTAGAGATTCTCCGATAACTTTATTCAATCGTTTTCATTTACACTCTACAGATCATAGACGGTACTTTTACGAAAGTTTTGTTCTCTTTGTTTTTGATTTTACGACATGCATTTAAATAATAACTATTATTAATGTGCAAGACCAGGTTGATTTTTTCAGTGACTGACAAAAAAATATGTGCTATCAAATTAATTCCTGATAAAGAATGGTAAAAGCGAGCTTAATCAATTTCATTCATAATCATGGGAAGGTTACTTGTTCCTGTAAGAACAAAGATATCAACAAAAGGTGTGGCGGCAGATGTTAATGCTCAAAGAAAGGAGTGCTCTGCAATGCATCTGTTGATCGATGGTGTCAACCCATCGAGATCGTTGCTCTGCGATGATGCGACGATGCGACGATGCGACGATGCGACGATGCGACGATGCGACGAAGCAAGAATGCTAGTTTGCGCGGCGCGGCGAAGTCCTCCAATGCATCTGTCAAAAGATTTGTTGCAACACGGACAAAGATAGGGGCCTACCTAAGAGAAAGCAGCCATTGACATCTAAGAAATAAACGTAGAAAGACTAAGAAAGAGTAACATAAACAAAGAGTAAATTCTTAAATTTCCTAAGGTATTGAACAATCATAATATGAATGAAACAATTTTAATTTTATTGAATATATAGGTCACACAATAAATATATAGGTCACACAAACAAACAAACAAAAACAAATACAATGAGTTAAGATACTCCATGAGTTAAGTGTGTATGTTTAATAAAAGAGAATTATCTTCACAGGTGTCGATAACATCACGATTTGAAGATGCAGAACAACAAGCTACAGACAGGGTTCACTGGAGAGGTCTAATACACCGGAGAAAGGAGTTACTATGGGGTGCAGGCCACTCCAACGACTAGGAGGAGACCTTTTCAAGTACAAGTAAGTACTCCATGAGTTAAGTGTGTATGTTTAATAAAAGAGAATTATAGGAAAGTAATGTGAACTATACATCTTGACGTCATGCCAAATGACCGAAGTAGTGAACACTAGAAAATAAATGAAGAAATGTCTCCAGATGCTTCTGTCGCCTTAGTTGGAAAGGGGTCAGGCAAGTAGATTATGATTTTTCTTTTGCATTCACGGCCAAGAAGAATTACTTGCAACTGCAATGGTGCAAACATTTCTAAAAATAGGGTTTGACCTAATAACTGAACAACCTGAAGTCTGTAGACTTTATAACTATACTCTACCCCACTCAATGTGATTATTCTGACCATTTTAATGCCCAAGATGAGCGTTTAGCTCCAATTAGTAGCTGAGATATTCTGAAATAAATGTGATAATTATTACTCGCGAAACCACAAAAGGGTGTGGTCATATAACTGATCATCAACCTTAAGTGTGAGGACTTTGAAACCATGATGTTCTACTTCCTTAAATATGTCGATTCTGACCATTTTCATACCCAAGTTTATTTCTTTTCTCCAATCAGAAGTTGAGATATGTGGGTCTAGATATCGCGAAAGCGCCAAAAATGGCGTGGTCAATTGCGCAAAACTACCCTATATTCAGTCTACCCAAGCCAAATTCGTTTCTGAGGGGTCCCTTGAGCTGTTCCAGGTCTCAAACCTCGGGACGGAAGACGTGTCTGCGGGAATATTCGCAGATCATTCATTATGAGGACTATCAAATTAATTCCTGTTAAGAATGGTAAATGCGAGCAATCAATTTCATTCAATTTCATGGGAAGGTCATTTTTCCGTTTTGGAAAAAATGGAAACCAACATTTTGGTTTTTGGCGCACCAATTCAACCTCAGACACCACCCTATGACGAGGGATTGAAGGCCAGATAACACCATAGGTTTCATCCAGCTAAGCTAGTGCAGCTAGTGCAAGGCGCATCAGTTGCAGACTAAAAGACCCCTATTTTTCACCCAAGTCCATGGTGCGTCAATTTTTCATCACATACTTGAGAACTAATAGAAGTTCTAAAAAAATTACAAACACGCACATACAAGTACATATTTTTGTATTCTGTATAATGCATAGTGTAGGTACACTATCAAAATTGCACAATAAGCACATTGCACAATGTACAATGTATTCTGTCTAACTTGTAACTTATGTATCAGTATAGCATATCCGTATGATGTATAGTATATCCGCCGTCAAATATTGCAAATGCTGCTTACGAAACAGCTTGTTATCTATAACTATTACATTGTATTGTGTATCTTCTTGCCTTTTCTCTGCGTGTATCCATGTACCTGTACCTATAGTGTAAGATACGTCAATTTTATTTGACACTTTTGTAGTAGTGCCTAGTTCATTCATTATATTTCCAAATCTTACCCCTAACAAAACATTCACGATGTAAATTTGTCATTCTAAATACTCCAGCATAGAATTTAGTAGCATACCTGAATAGGTAGATGCAAACTTTGTGAGATACATTCTCGGTCGATGTTTGAATTTGTTTGCTTCAGACATTTTGGCGTGTTTCCTAGTATTCGAGCTTGCTTTGAGCGTAAATTTAACTTTTTAAGCGCCCTTTACGTACTCGAACTGCGCTGTAGAATTTTCGCGATTACATCGCCCTATTTACTTCAAGAGCTTGTACTTGTAGTTTGTAGTCTGTAGGCTACACAATGTAAGATACTAGATAGGCGCTATTGAAATAAAATGGACGCAAAAGAACGTGCGTTGTTAGTTTATATCATACAATTGTCGTTCTGTGACTAGACGAGTTTTAGCTTATTAGTAAATGCTGGATACATTCTTTAACAGTCTTTAATTGTTCATTATAAGACTTTGTTCCACAACACGACCATGCTCCTCACGTACTCCTCCCCGCTACTCTAGGACCATATATTTATTATAAGAAAGCATAATTTATGACCATATGCTTATATCAATATGGCAGGGGGCGAATTTACATCCTAGCCACGTAGTGTTAAGTGTTATAACAATTTAGATTTGCAGTAGTAATTCAATTGCTAGTTTCTCTTCAACCCTACTACAGTATCCTTGTAGTAGATTACGATGTTCTGCAGCCTACTTCCTAAAGGTTTACATTGAATAACTATTTTGGCGATGTCCTCTAGATATTCGTGTGGTTCATTTTCTGATTTTGCTTTTAAGTTTTAGTCTCACTTTTCAGAATCATTTTAATTTCCATTTCTGTCGTTTCATTTACTCGAAATAGTAAAATTTACAAAACAAACCCTCAAGAAATTGTCGTAGTTCAGCAACACTATAGTACCCTACCACCCTCGTCTAGGATTGATTTAATTAATTAATAATAATTTGTACAGTTTTTATCAGTCTCCATTTCGAATCAGGCATTGGCTTGATAATTGCTTGTACACGATTAATTCGATTCAATAGATTATGTCCATGGTCCACCTTACATTTTTAAACGTTTACTGAATTCTATTTCTAGAAATAGAAATTTTCAACCAAATTTCCTACAAGGAGTCATATTAGAATGTAACAGACCAGAGACAATCACATACTCCTCGCATCTTCTCCTCGCAAGTAACAGACCCCACCACTCCACCGCTAACAGAGCTCAGGACCATGTCAGGGACATCCAGGGACTACACTGTCCCCTTAACATTCGCTCTAGCTGGAATCTCAAACATGTTCTCAGGGACGATAACCCACCCTATAGATGTGGTTAAAGTGAGGATGCAATGTGATAATCAGAACAAAGGGATCTATCAGAGAGTTACCCAGGGCTGTTCCGTGGTGCTACAAAGGTTGGTATTACAAATATTGTCCCTAATCTCTATACTCCGGGTGATCTATTCTCCTTATATTACAGAAATGTAATTGCATGCTTTGTTAATATTTATATTTGAGACGGTTCAGATGTTAGAAAATCTGAACACACATTGGTGAGTTGAAATTTAAAGCAACATATATCATATCGCTGATATATTCGCTGCAACATTACTCCTCCATATCCCGCAGATTGCCAGAGCTGAAGGACTCCGTACCTTGCTTACCGCGGGGTTGTTACCCTCTCTATGTAGAGAAGCAAGCTACAGCACTATCAGGATGGGTGGTTACGAGCCCGTCAAGAAGATCATAAGTCCGGGAAATGAAGTTTTACCACTCCACAAGGTAAATATTGAGTTACTTGTGGAGTTAATATGTTTGTCTTTAATCCATGTTGAACTTAAAGTAGGGAGGCTTTTGAGAAATTTCTAAGAGTTCGAGGGTCTGATGTTTTTCATGCCTGCTTCAGTAAAAATCTTAATTTAAAATCTCATTTCTTGATCATTTTTACCAATTTTTCCCCAGAAAATACTTGCGGGAGCAACCTCTGGTGCGATCGGAGCCTTTTTGACAACTCCCTTTGATCTGGTCAAGGTCCGATTGCAAACTGACATTCAGAGGAAGTAAGTGATTCGTGGGAGATATTTATAATTTCCATTCAAAATAGAATTGCTTTTCATTTGAAAATATTGTTGCCACATTTCCCAAAATTTGTTCGAGAAACGTAAGAATGTCCGGTTAAACACCATTCGACAATCACGACTCCGCAGGTTACCCAACATGTTTGTTCTTCTGTACCGAATCGGAAGAGACGAAGGAATTCTCAGGGGTATGTGGCGAGGAGTCGGACCTAACATAGGAAGAGGAACATTTACAACTGCTGCACAGGTAAATAACTTGATTATATCCACCCAAACTACCACCGGATATTACCATTTAGATTTCCAACCATACTTGTAACTTTATGAACCAAAGTTTTAGTTTCTAAGGCAAATTCTGTATAAGTTGCTTTAGCAACTAATTTATGTATCTATGACGACTGATTATTTTGTAACCATGTAGCAACTACAGCAAAGATAACCGGAGGCTGCCACCTCTGGGTCACTATTATGTAGTTAGTTGTTTAAAATTAACAAATATCTTGTCCAGATTCCATCGTACGACCACTCAAAACACTTCCTGTTAAAAGTAGGCTGGCTCAGAGAAGGTCCAGTACTTCACTTTATCTCGAGCATATTCGCGGGTTTTTGTGTAGCAACCGCCAATAATCCTGTTGATGTGGTGAAGAGTCGGATGCAGTCTGAAAACAGAAAACCAGGAGTTGCCGCAAAATACAAGAACATTCCTCAGGTGATTAGGTGATAAGATTGAGCTGTTTGGCTGTTTTGGCTGCGGGCACTTTTTAAATTCAGTAAACTTTTTAAATTCTATAATCTCCATTATAAAATAAAATTTCACGTAGTTGTTTCAGATTATTTTTATTTGGCCCTTACATTAAACTTTTTTGATTAACCCAACTTTTTAGTCAGCTACAACTCCAACTTGTTTTTTTCTAAGTGACTGATCTTCACAGGTTTTGTTACTGATAATAAGAACAGAAGGGGTGAAAGGGTTGTACAAGGGCTGGTTCCCTAACTGGGCAAGAGTCGGACCTCACACTTGTATGACATTCTTAATGTTCGAGCAACTCAGACGAATATCTGGCATCAAACCCCTCTAAAAGTCTATTTGTATTTACAAGGAAGGGGGTATAAGTGGAAGCGTGACCACGAAACCTCGTTTCCACCAATTTAAGGGATAACCTGAGTGTGACATAATTTTTATCAAATATGACATTTCAATGTTTATATTATCAGTTCAGGATTTTTAATTTTATCGGGATCTATCTTTACGCATTTCAATGATAATTGATTTATGATAATCATTAATTAGCTGCCTTTTACCATCATATACTCCACATTAGGGCGTTCACAAATGATATGACTTTCTGAGGGAAACTGTTTTTTCAGAAAGTAGCTTAGGCGGATGGTTGTTAGGTGACGACATTACAAATTTAAAAATAAAATGAATCTTAGGTGTTTCACAGGCGTTCATTTTATCGATTACCATGTTATTATTATTATAAAACAGGATCTTACCGACAAAAATGATTCTTAAAATACCTTAATGCGGTAAACTGTACCCTTAAAAAGATTTTCCCAACATCTGTTGCATGCAGCTATATCTCTAATTTCGTTCAATTCATGCAAGTTGTCCATTTGCAAATTTCTACTACTTAAATCACTTCTTAAAACCGATAACAAGTTCATTCTAGGTCTCCCCAATCTACCAATGAATAAATTATCTGATTCAATTGCAAAAGAGAGAGCCGTTTGGGCTGGGGTGTTCTCCATACTCCTGAGAATGTGTCCAAACATCTTCCACCGCTGGTGTTCAATACGCTTGGATAACTTTTCAACTTTGCACCGTTCATACAATTCTTTGTTGCTTATCATACCTTTAGGCCATTTGATGTTTAAAATGGACCTGCGGTGTCTACGATGGAGTGTGTCCATTTTCTCCATGGTTGCTTTCTTAGGACTCCAACTATTTGAGTTGTAAATCAATACAGATACAACTTGAGCATCATATAACCTCAGCTTTCTTTCAAGGGAAATTTTCTTACCGGACAACCATACTTTTCCAAAGTTCTTAAAAGCAATCTCAGCTAGGATTCTCCTTCTTTGAATGTCCTTCTCAGTGCAGAGTAAGGAACCTAGTGTAGTAACTGTTTATTGATGTTGAGAGATTTGGGCGAAGGATAAAGAATTTAATCGAATCTAATTGTTAACTATAAGTTAAAAGATATACCAACATAGGAGAAAATGGTTAAATGTTGGTATGTGACATACCAAGATCAAGAAAGGCCGAAATTTCGGAGATTTGTGAACGTTTCAGTATCATTATTATGTTTTTACTCCGGTGATTTATACTTTAAACTTTATCTTCATACAAACTGACAGAAGAAGCTTTGTTATTTATACGTAATTTATTACGGCTATTAAATTCAAATCGGGAATTCATCGTTGTACAACATCAGTATCTGACATATTGACGAACACGAATCTGCACAGATGTCAGCCATCAAAATTTACCCCCTTCATGCTAAACCACTTCTCATCCCGAACCCACTTCCACAAAGATGAATCCCGTCTAACAAAACCGCGTGAACACAAGTCTCACTTGTTTAGATTTTCATTCTGATAACAGTGAAATGCTGTAGCCAGTAGCATGTAGTGCTGCATGTAGTGCTCCAAATTACAACAAACGAAGAAAACGTGCAAACAGCATGCTTATAAGCGCGCGTCTGCGCGGCAAAAATACAGCCTCCGTTACAAACTTAAATCAATTTTGTGTCATCGCGCGTTCCAAATAATCAGACTCAATTTTTTACAACAGAAGGACTTTTCACAAATCTGCTCCAAATAAAAAGTTTGACCTGTTAAAATCGTCACTGGCTAAATTCCTTAAAGAATTCCCCGACACACCCCCTACTAAAGGATACACCGCTACTAACAACAACTCAAAAAGACCCCAGCGGAGTAATAGGAGGACGTACTTGATACTGTTGTCCTGAAGCGATCCCAGCCAAACCTACTCAAAGTACTCAAAGTAAGTAACTGACCGACAGAATTTTCTTAAAATTCTGTCGGTTAGTTACATTGTCTATATCTCTAGATGAGTGCTTTCCAGTGGTACCGAGGCATATATCTCGAGATCTGAATGGTAGATTTTCTTTGAACTTTCCAGATGGTTATATGGTAATAAGAAAATTAATCTATCCAAGTTAGGGTGAATTTCTATATGCCAAATTTGAGAGGAGATTTTATCTTGTGTTTGAAGTGATATCTCAAATTTGGCACATAGAAATTCGCCCAAACTTGCACAGATTATTCGTCTTATTACCATATAACTATCTGGAAAGTTTAAGAAAATTCTATTAACTTTCGTAAAATATTGTTCCGTGGAACAAGAATCTCTTGCATTTGCGATACACTATGCCCTCTCGAATCTCTTCGTTGACACTTTCAAGTAACGTACAGAATTCCAGGAATTTCTTAGGAATGTTTCAATATTTTTTCAGTATGTTTTACGAACAGATTGTGGACCATTAGCAGACGCTTGAAAGTAAAAAGTTCAATCAAGACTTTTATTTCTGAGAAATATGGACAAGTTTATGTGATTCAAATGATACTTCTAAAAATAGCCCCAATTTATTCTGGCTACGAGTGAATGCGTTTTGTACCCTCTCAATTTCTTAAATTTCGTTGAAGCTATTCGTCAGAACCAACTACTAAGCCGTAAAGACCACCGCTTTGAAGCAAAGAGGGTGGTCCAATGTAAATCTACAATAGTTTCTGTTAAAACATCCAAGATAGGTCTACAAATCACATCAAAGAGAGAGAGCGGGTATGCCTGAGTTCTGTCGTTATCAAAGTCTATGCTGACAAGCCGGCAAAGAGCTGGGACGCCATTTTCATTATTATGCTGCAAAGAATCACGTAGGTGCATCTTTAACTAACATGTTCACTGTTCAGCGTTTAAAAGATAACCAAACGGACGTGATAAGGATTAGGAGAACACCTGTGTACATATCTTCTGTTGGAAGGGAGTTATTATTCAGAGAGGTTGATCTTACCAATCCAACATAACTAAAACTACGTTTCATCACACTTTCGTTGAACACGATAGGGCTCAAGAAGTCAATTCTAGGCCTTGGTCTATAATTTCTGCTAGAAATTTTCACCAATAATGTACTAAATTTAACGAGGGAAACAACATTAACCATTTTACACAGTCTGCTATTATTCGTTCCAAGTACAGAGTGACGGGGTTTTGTTATCAATTATTGCAGTTAGATCAGGGACCGCATCACGAAAAATACCGTCTAGTTAGGACAGAGACAGCATTACTTAATCAATAACGTAACCCATCACGTACCGTCTGGCTGGGCTTTTCAACGAGGAGACATTATAAATATCGAAACACAATTATTCACTTGTGGAAGACTTTCATTGAAAAAGCACCCAACAATATAGACTTAAAGCCTACGTCGACTGCCGACAAAAACTCGTTAGAGTTGAAGACGTTCTGTAGGAATACCAAGTTTTATAACTTTGGGGTAATTTACTGGCTGTGATATGCCGTTAGTTGCTAAATGAACCTGCCAGAGGAAATGAAGAATGTGATAGACACAGATACTATTAGGTTTTACCTTCCATGAAATGCCATTAAGCAAGAAAGTATCCTCAATAAGCATTCCACAAATTATTAAACCTCACAGCAAGGATTTGTTTAGATAATTTCAGGAGGTTGAGTTTAGAATAATCTTACATGATAAGTAGCTACTTACCTCGTTTCAGTTAAACTAGTTGTACACTGTACAGTATATGACTGTCTGGATGGTTGCATGCATATGCAACAGATTAGATTCAAAGGATGATGTCATTTGTCAACTGTTCAGCCCAAAAGCAAAAGTTGTGTTGCTTGCGCATTCTCGACCCATTTTCAGTGCCAAATTCATGAAAAATTTATGCATACGGCAGTAAATCCGCTCTATCAAATCTATCAGCTATAATTGCAAGCGCTCTCTCGAGTCTCACCCGAAATCATATCTCTAGTCATACTGCCAACCTTAATGTCAACACTTATACCAAAGCTTACATACCAGGATAATACATTACAGCAAGTTTATTTTATCCCTGATTCTGTTAATAACAAGGTTATTATTTGCAAAATCACTCAGACTAACCAGGAATCTCAGTGGAAATTGAAATACTGATCCGCACTCAATCCGCAACGTCAAGTTCACCTACAGTGGATTACTGAGGGTAAACAATTTCTGAGTTGAAATGATTTTTTTCTCCAACCTCACCATTAACAATCGTTTCAAAATTCAAATTATTCATCTCTCTCCACACTGGTCAAAGAAAGGGAGGACACGGCACATATTACACATCCTCACATTGATATAATGCAAATGGGGGAGCACAAATTACTTCTTAACTCTCCTTAGCTTTTTGTCTTCAGAGAGTGTGAGGCTGCTTCACAATCCCTCGCCGTCAAAAGAAGGATTATGCTAAACATTTTCTTTTGTTGCGGGAATGTCATACATTATGATTATTGTCGAGGGTGGGAGCAATGACTTATTAATGTTAAATTTAACTTTTAATCATTTAACCATTTTGAGGGGATTCCGTGATACTCAAACGAAGACAAAAGGTCGAATTTAGATAATGTCCTACTCTGAGCGAGGGGCTTTATCTTCTTTGATTCCTAAGGGTGAGTCAAATCGCGCCTTATAAACATATTGTCTTTATTCTTCAACTAAACAACGAGCTTCAACTAGATTTAACAAGAGCTGAGCTCAGTAATCACACACTAGCTCGGGGACAATGTGAAGGAGATCACTTTGTGAGGCAATAATTAAGTTCATGAATTGATTAATTAATTACATGAATTTGGCGGCAACAATTGAGTGTTTAACTCACTTAACAAGCCCTAACTTTTCAAACATACTCCCAGATCAGAGAGATGAAGTGGTGTCCAACTTCAAAGAAATATGTAGACTTTTCAAAACCATGATTGGAAGTCTGCAATTTGTAGATCTAGATACTGGAGGGAGGCTTTGTTTAGACACGTGACAGTGATCGTTGATTTTGATTGGTCAATATTGGCAGCTGATTGGCTAATCAGGCAGCTGATTGGCTAATCACTGTCAGTTTCAAGTGTCAGAAAAATATGGTTCACCTCCCACTAGTATCCAGATCTAGAATTCTTACTGATTTTAAAGACGCGGAATATTTGAAATGACGTTACCAGGTAACGTTTGGTAATATTTGGCATGAACCCTGATGAGCCCTAGCACATCAAATTAGCCACTTGTTTACATTTCAGGTATGTCGTTTACAGAGTTTTACAGTGTGAACAAACGAGTAACCACTGGTCGCCTAACGAATAACAGTTTTCCGAGATGGTTTTAAATTCCATATCTGTTTTTAACAGTTTTGTTCTGTGGAAAGAAAATAAATTTCATAAAGTTTTACCCGTCTATGTTTTAATGGAGTAACATTTTAACACCAATATTGAATTAAATTTTGTCCCAGAAAATAACGCGACAATGATAACGAAAATCATGACTGTCCATTTGAGCTAAAATCATCTGCAGGGTGTTGGTAACATGCTCACTGTAGTTTATTTAAAATAATGTATCAGCAGGCAAGTGTGACAGGCAACATTACAGTGACGGTAGTGATAGAGTACGAGTTTAAATTGTGTTAGCCAACGTCCCATGAGTTTAATAGGTACCTCCTCTGTTTTCCTGTAAAGTTGTAACAATGTTACAGTATGTACGTGCTAGCTGTGTTATTGTGTACTGCAAGAGATCATGGTTTTAACTCAGGGCACCACACACTGTAAAGAACATGACACATGACCATGACAACGTGACCTACAAAGTACAAGTTGCAGTCTGAAACTCCTGTCAGGCGCGATCAGATTATCTCAAAGCTAAAGTTAATGGTGCATCTGTTTAACAATTAAAGGGTGTTCGAGAGCGTTCTTACCATACAATCACTTAGAACCTGAATTAATTCCCAGGCTGATGGCGCGATCTTTGGGTTTGAAAGACTGGCATTGTGGTATGACATACCGCTTCATTGCATATGAATGCTCATCTGGCAAAGTGTTCAGACGCCTGTTAAGCTCTGGTATGTCATTAGTGTCCGTTATAGTGAAAAGAAGGAGCGAGATAGTGGATTGAACAGTGTGATGATTAGTTAGACTACCGTCTAATTTTTCCATTGTTATCGAAATTTAATGATCGAAACAGCCCGAGAAGAATCAGGCCTCGCAGGGGCCAGACCTCAGGCAGCCTCTCAGCCAACAATTCTGGTTGGAATTGCTGTCGAGATAATGCACATTTGCATGTTGTGAATAGTGCTATACAATACACATATAACAGGCTGGGTCACAACCGACCATGGCTTGGTAGACATGATAAGAAGACATGATAAGGAGACATGGCCATGAGTTCTTAGTGTCAATGTGAACCCTTGTCTTAAACCTAACCCATTTTCATATCATGTTAAATAGAGAGATCTAAATTCTACCGAATTTGCAATTTATATATAATTTTGGAAAAATGAAACAGCTTTTATAAATTTTTCCAAACAAGCAATGATAAATAACATCAGCAAATATAGTACAATTTTCAAAATAACATATTCATCTCAATTCTATATATCTTTCAATATCAATGCTCAAATTCTTTTGTGCACTGACACTACCAGAGGGCCGTAACACGATTTATAGCCCTTTGCTTGAGCAGTAAAACCTTAATATTACATAATAATTTGTCAATAAAAGGTTCAATATATTGCAGCTGCCATATCTTCTTCTCTGCTCAAGAATAAGTCCATACTATCCGACGTAACATATTTTAATAAAAAAAGACTTGCGAAACATACTAAAAGATTATATAGCATGTCAAGAACGATAGCTTCTGTGACAGGAGCAGGTAATATCGATGGCCTATATTGCTGATTATTGATTTAGTTCTGTCAAAAAACACCCCATTTCATCAAGTGAAGTGGTGACCTGGATATATAGCATTTGACACATGAAACCTCTGAATGTGACAGCTTATAGACTAAACTTAGACCCACTTTAACGCAACTATAGAAGCTAGCTCTATAATATTTCTATTAAAACTGTCGGCAATGCCGGCTGAAGTCGATAATGTTCTTATTTGAGGAAGGCAGCCACATTTTTTCCAATAATTGAATAGAATGAAGTATTCATAATTGCTATAATAGCCATTCCTTTCCCTTTGCTCATACTCCTAAGAAGATCTGTTTCCAAATATTTTCGCCAAATTGGCAGATATTAGTTAAAAATCTTAATACTTGCAGACAATTGACAAATTGAAATATAATTACTTCAAAATCCAATATTGAATCTTACACTGACAAATAGCATTAAACATTCGTTATAACTTATTATTCTTCTCCTCAAGAAATACTGCTGTCCAACATAAAGCAGTCAGTTTAATTGACATTTACCAATGAATAGATAAGTCTTCAAGAGGTCTTACTTCAGTCTTATTTCATTCCGGGAACACCTTTTTAAGAGTGCACTTCACACACATGAAAGGGAAGATGCTGACGCTGGGGTTGATCTCGCCGCAGCAGGTCAAACACTTCATATGACGCGACTCCACGAGTTTTTGTCGGTTGAGAAGAGTGAGAGCGGTGTCCTGGTTCCTGGAGAGGAGGAGAGGAGAAGGTTCCACTCTCCTCTGGTTAGTGGAGGTTATCGAGCTGACTATCTGCTCCAGGAGGGACCGTTGTCCGGTGCCGTAGTTCAGGGAGGGTGGAAGGAGAGGTGGGACCATGAGTGAGCTCCCGCTTAGAGACGGATGTGAAGGGAAGATAGGGGAGGTGGAGAGGGAGTTGGAGAGGGAGTTGGAGAGGGAGGGGGCGAGAGGAGAGAAGAGTCGAGAAGGTGGCGTCAAGAGGGAGGAGGAAGGAGGGGTGAGAAGGGAGGAGGAGGGTGGTAGGTAGGTGGTGGAGGAAAGGGAAGTGAAGCTGCTTCCTTGCGATGTTGACATCATAGGTGGCTGATTGAGGAGGTTGTTCCGCTGGGATGGTGGCGAGAGATTTGCCAGAGAGATTCTTGGTACCATTGAAATTCCAGACTCAGGGAAACTGGCTGCTGAGGAGACGTATGAGGTGGATATCTGTGGGGTGGCAGAAGTATGGGTGGGGTAGGACGAGCTCGCTACCAAGTTTATCATCGGCTCAATCTTCTTCTCCTCCAATTTGAGCTGCTTGCAAGGTGACTCGACTACAGCTGGGTAGTTATGTGCTATCCCTCCTCTTCCATCACACGGTTTTGGGGCTATGTTCACGGAGCAGTGATTTGCAGTTACTCTGTCTCTCTTTTCTCCAGCAACCGAGCGTGACATTGAATTCTTTGATTCGTTCAATTTTCTCAGTCTTAACTCATTCTCCTGAAGAATTATTTATTATTATTATTATGTACGTTTTTTTCACGATAAGAGAAGTTTTTTCATAATCCAATTCTCATATTCCGTAAAAAATGTTTTAAATTAATTATACGGATAATTGATTCTTACGATAATCGTGGGAGAAATTGTCTTATCTTGCCCAAGGAAGGTCCTTTAATGTTTTGTGCATGATGTCAAAAAAATCGTAACACTTTTCTTCGGAATTGGCGAAATTAGTTCAAATTTTAGTTTCGATAAGTACGAAGAAATGCCAGCATTAAAAAACAAGTACCAACCTGAAGCCTATGTTTGATCATCTCGATTCGAGCCTCGGTTTCAGGAGTGGCTGGTTGGGTTAGTTCACACCTCAGTTCAGTGGTCAGCGTCTCCTGGTTATTTTCAAGGAGCTTCCTTCTGCCAACCGAGCCCAGTGGTCGACCCCTCCTGCCATGACCAGCTCTGTCTGTAAAACATGATGGTCAAACTAACGATCACACTACAAATAATAATACCAGAAATGGAAATGTCGTCAAACTGGAGACATAACATAGATATCGAAGAAATAAGATACCATTTCAACAAATGTTCCACATGAGTTTACCTTTTGGCTGGGATGTGTTCAAAGCAATTGTAACTGGGTCCAGAAAAGACAGGAGTGGTTTTATGTGTCCCACGGGGGCTGGATTCGGTGAAACGCCTACAAACATGATGTAATTTACTAGATTTCGGAGAAATATAAACGTTTTTCTCTGAATAGAACATTAATAAAACCTGAGATAACCATAACCGGCATGTGCAGCGCGTTATTGATAAAATACCGTGAGAAGATTTTTTGATTCCGTTAAGACTTTTACTGCTGTGGCCCATTGATTAATTTACTGTAGTGGTGGTCATGAATCAGATGTTAAAATTCGAGACAAGAGAAATTATATATTATATGGGTACCGCGAGTGAGGTTTTAATGCTAAATATGAGAGCAACGCCACATGGGCTATAAAATTAGGTAGGATCATTATTATAAAAAACCATTGTGCATTGATGGATCACAGTAGGAGGTCCAATGAATTTCAATAAAATTATCCACAGCTCATTGAGCGCATGATTACCGTAACTCATTAGCTCTATAATGAGTGTCAGCTAGGTATAACGTACCGATTCCGGACCAAAGAGGGCCAGCCTTTCCGACTTTGTTCATGACAGGCCGAGTAGATAACTGGTGAAGTAGCAGCTTCTGGAGCGGTGTCAGGTCCATCCCTCTGAAATTATATTAGTAAATATTTAGTGATTAGTCGTCACGGGGTACGTGTTAGTTTGCTCTGTTGTGTTCGAGGGGAATGCTAAGTGAATGATTATAAAAACGTAAGGTGTCAACGATTAATCAAGTGTGATTTTATGCTTTTTGGGGGAAATCAATGAGGACTGAGGAACAGTGGTGTACAACCCTGCTGAGGAAACAACTAGAACTCCAAACTGACTACACACGTGAGGCAGGTCATTGAGCATGAGGCAAAGGTTCAAGCCTCCAGACTGACTGCAAAATAAATTCAGATTATGCGTGATGCATGGATTCAAACCTCTATACTAGCTGCAAAACTGAATACTGATTCAGATTATGATTTATTCATTGATTCAACTTCAAGCGTTTCGACTTCACGCAAGAGTAATTTAGATTATGCGTGATTTCAAGATCCAAACTAGCGACCGACTGGCTGTCAGTATCCCAACTCCATTAACCTTGAATGGAATTAAGATACGCTCTCAACAATAGCACTCCCAAAAGCGGTTTCACTGGGTACTATATTACTATGTGCATAATGCACATTGCACATTGCACATTGCACAGAGCATTACAAAGTGAAAATGCAAGGAAACTCGAATGTTACACGTATCATTAAATTGATATGGGCTATTCCCTTTGTTCTGGCAAAAGTTCCGCACACATTGGGACTTCCGCGAAGTTTCTCGATGTAATCCGACTTATATGACCCTAAATAACCTTCTGATAGGAGTTACACACTCATCTTGGGCATTGAAATGGTCAGAATCATAACATTGAGTGGGGTAGAGCATAGTTTAAAAGTCTTCAGACTTTGTTGAGTTATTAGGTCAGACCCCATTTTTACGCTCTCGCGAGTAGCGGTTGACGCACTTAATTCACGATTCTCAGCTTCTGATAGGAGTTACACACTCATCTTGGGCATTGAAATGGTCAGAATCATAACATTGAGTGGGGTAGAGCATAGTTTAAAAGTCTTCAGACTTTGTTGAGTTATTAGGTCAGACCCCATTTTTACGCTCTCGCGAGTAGCGATTGACGCACTTAATTCACGATTCTCAGCTTCTGATTGGAGTTAAACGCTCATCTTAGGCATTATAATGGTCAGAATCATCACCTTGAGTGGGGTAGAGCATGGTTTCAAAGTCTTCAGACTTCAGGTTATTGAATAATTAGGTCAAACCCTATTTTTACGCTCTCGCAAGTATGGTCAATGCAATGATGAAAATATTTTAAAATGAACTTTAATTAATCGCAAGGAAAAAGTTGTTTTGCTAAGAAAGATCAGTAAAAATTCACTAAAACCTCTAGGAACATGCTTCACCCCACTTAATGTGATGATTCTGACCATTTTAATGCCCAAGTTGTGAAGATGAGCGCTTAGCTCCAATCAGAAGCTGAGATATCTTGAAATAAGTGTGATAATTGTTACTCGCTAGTCGACTGCAAAATCGGATTTTTGGCGATTTCTCAAAAACTAAGTCTCCTAGTCCTTAAATATGTTCATAGCACTAAAAAACAAGCATCTTAGGCACATTTTGGTTCATGCCTGAGTTCTATATCTCAATCAGAAGCTGAGATAATCTATAGTGGGGGTTGTGATATGGGTGCGGTCAAAAAGGGCGTGATTCCGAGAAATGCCCGACTGGTGAAAAAGTTTACCCGACTAAATAGTGTTATTTGCAGGGTCATATAAGTCGGATTACATCGAGAAACTTCGCGGAAGTCCCAATGTGTGCGGGACTTTTGCCAGGTCCAGGAATAAAATGGAAATGGGACACAATGTTTGTTTTTGCAGATATTGAATTTGTACTGGGTTCACGTGATTCCAATGAGGCAGTTAACAACAGTTTATTAAAACATTGGATGTGTTATGTCTGCATGTTTTAACTGGTCAACATCTTAATAATTTGTTAACCATGATCACCAGAGCCACAGTCTCTCTACTTATATTTCACAATTCACCGAGTTTAACAAATTAACAATTTAGGTGTAATGTGGTGTTAGTGTAGTGGTGTTGTGAGAAAATTGAGTTGTTCTGAGATATTATGATAAAAACAATCAGTTTTATGAGATAATTCTGGTTTAATAAAATGAAATAAATAAGATAGCATAGAGTGGGTACGGAGTAGAATGAATGAAAGATGAAGAAAGTACACACTACACACCTGTTCTCAAGAGATGACGTGTCCCCCTGGAGGAGGGCGAGGGCTAACAGCAGATCGTTTGAGGGTAAGTTCTCTCCGCTGGAAACTGGGATTGAACCTAAAAATGAACAGAGGTCAATAATACCAGTGCCCGCAGTGCATAACTTAACTTGAACGTTGCAAATTTTACTGCTACTGAACAGCAAACCAGGACAAACAGTTTCCTTTGCTCATCCAAATGATTTTCCAAATCTCACTAACCGTTAACAGTCGAGACTAGGTGTTCAGAGTTTGTGTTTCTGCTTGTTGAGGAAACCAGTGGGGAGGAGGTACTGGTCAGTACTCCGTCCGATGTAGTTAAAATATCCGTCCCAGAGGCTAGGGTACTTCGACAAGCGTATTCCATCATTCAGTCTAATGAAAAGAGTGGTCAGGTAAAATACTCTTTAACACGAATAATAGTTAAATTGTTAGACTAACTACCAATTCCATTAGTCAATAATTTGGATTTGGGTGCAGATTTGGAGAAAGCCATTCTATATCGACTAGATGTAAAACTGCTAAACTACCTAGTGGGATAGTGCACCATAATATATTCAGTAAAGGGGCGTTTAACTTTAAAAGGTGCTTTCGAAAACCAGATGCTCAGACATCCGGGATATTTGCCAATTAAATTTCAAGAATTCAGAGTATTCTGAAAATCTTTTTGGAGACTACAAGTCCCGGTCAAGCTTTAGCTACTCAAGTACTTCCTTACCAAGTGCTTGGTATGGAATGCAGAATCTAGATAACTCGCGTTATCTCATCACGAGATACTTTGTTGTGTTCTGTATTTTCTGATAACTTCAGCTTTTTCTCTTATATTAAACCTATAGTCATTCTTGCTACCATAATCACTCAAAAATCAATTTACAATCGTGTCTTGAACAAATTGCCGATGCGATCACTGATGGACTATTGTAAAGATAAGCAAATTATTTAGTATAATAATTCTACAACAGGAATCAACGACAACCGAAATTACAAGACAATAAAGTTAAGCTAAAAATGACCAAAAATCATGTCCATGAAATCCAAGGACTTTCGAATGCTACAACTGCAACGTTTAATCTCTTTGTTTAATTAAAAGTGTTTTATACAAAAACTAAGGTTGTTTTGCGATTATCTTAATTAGCGAAGAACAAAAACATAATGTTAATATGTATAATAATAATAATAAGAGCTATATTAATTTGGGGCAATGCTGAAATTTGGAAAGAGACTATTTGCATGGCAATATCCTTGTCCAAAAAAATAGACGTATTGTGACTAAAGATGTCAAGACACAATTCTCACATACTTATAAAAATTTGTGAGAATGAGATAAGGGTGTGTTCTGAGCGCGTCATCACGTCGCAAGCAAACCTCTTTAAATTGAATCCTGAGTCAACTCAGAAAAAGTCAATCAATAAGTTGAGTAGCAGTCTGGAGTTCCCCGGACAACGCTCAAAGAGTGTCTGCCCACTCGAGATTAATATCACAAACGCCGCCCAAGTTCGTTAGCTTGGTGTTTAAGATTTACACCGGTCATGGTAATTAGAAAATAACGCTGAGCATTTAGACAGTTTTTTTGGTTTAAACATTATCAATATTTTACAAAGTGGATAATGTCAGGTGTCAAGTGTTAAAGGGTGTTATCGCGCCCTTATTTGCATCTGTTTGACAATGACCGGTGTTAAACAAACAAACGTGTTGTCCACCACAAACTAAAATTTTTCACCGAAGCACCTGTAAGTGGAACAGCAAAACCAGTATCGTCACAACTGCAACGTTGAACGTTTAATCTCTTTGTTTAATTGAAAGTGTTTTTATACAAAAACTGAGGTTTTTTGCGACTATCTTAAGTGAAAAAACAAATACACAATGCTAAGAACATGTTTCCACCATGATACTTTCAGTATAATGAAGCATACTTTGGCCAACTAAATTCTCTCCTCGACCTAGGTATTTATTATTCTTAATGACCACTTCAAGATAATCGAGTTTCAATGTTGTATAAAACCGATGAAAATTGAAACTTGGTCTCAGTTTGTACCTTCAGTTGATACCAAAGACTAACGCGCTTTGGTATCATCCAGCTAAACTGTGGAGTGTGGGGGTGGTACTGGTAGTCAGCCTCACAGGAACTATAAAAGAAGCAATCGTATTATAACGAGCAAGGAATATCACTGGAACTTAAAGTGATGTGGCAAACAACTTATTTAATTTTAAAGTTCCTGTGAAATGGTTGGCTTATTCTGCACCACAAAAATTGGCACAAAAATATCAGTCTAGAACTGTCATATTTTAGCGGTAAAATCAAAGTATTACAACAGGGTATTTTAGCAGTACAAATCAACTATTATAACAGAAGATTTTAGCGGTACAATCTAAGTATTCTAACAGAGGCACCACAGAACCAGTGCTGGCTAGTTACAAGGTCACATGATCAACCAGGGCCTGGTTCAGGTTTAAATCATAATGCTTAAATACCTGCCCCCCTCCTAGTACTCCATAAATAATAATAGCGTCGTAATTAATTAAAGTATTTTAATCAGATCAGATGGTGATGGGTCGCCTCTCTCCCTCCCCTACTATAGAGGTTATGTAAGGGTGTAGTGTACTGTTTAACTCCCTGTGTATAATACTTGGATATCAACGTCAGTAATCAACTTGATTTACTTGTAGGCAGGTTTATGTATTTAGGTACGAGGGTTTTTAAACGGTACGATATCAAAATATTGATCAACAAGAATAGTGCGGTCATGCAGGCGAAGAAAGGCAGAATTTGAAGAGATGAACTGCAGAAAATTTGAGTTCATCGTTACTGTAATTAAAACTTGATTAATGAATCGCTGATTTAATGATCTGTTGATTAGTAAGAATAGTAATAAGTCATCGATTTACGTATCAAAGATTACTTCAAGAGATTTTAATTAGCTAAGCAGTCTTACGCAATTCAAAATAGCTTGCCAAAATAATGACCATGTCCACAATGTGGTGTGCCATGAACAAGACCTACTAAAATTAAACACAAAGTTCCAAGAATTTAGCAACTAGCCTCGAAATAATTTGATTGAATCTGATTAAAGTAGCTGATAATTCGTGAACGGAAGACGAGTAGGTAAATTAAATTTCAGCAGATTTCCGCACGATGCCGCCACACGCTAGACGGACAGGTCGTACCAATGAAAATTGAGGTGTTCTCCACCAATAAGACGTGAGATTTGGTCACCCAATGAGGGCGAGGCAGTGGATCCTGGGAGTGAGTCACGCGAACAAGCCAGCTCATCCAATCAGACAAGAATATGAGGTCACGTGTTATTTAGTAAAAATTGTAAAAATCGGCGCCCGCAAATTACATTTAAAAGTTAAATCCACAAAATTAGTAATAATTGCGATCCAGGGTGGTCTAATTCTAAATTGAAGATCTTTTACTGCAGCAATATTCATATTGAAACTATGTGAGGTCCAGGATAAGGAAGATTTCTAATGGAATTTGGGCGAATTAAAATGGGAAATAAGTTGCCGCAGATTAATGAAGCAGGATCGTGCTGCGATTTTAACATGGCGAGAAATCACGATGAGCAGATTTCAACTTTACTATTATAATTAAAACTAACAAGACTAAAAAGTTTGCAAATTTGATTTGAGATTTTGGTATGAGGGCCGGGCTGGGTTAATTCGATAGCAAGTCCGCGTATCCAATCAGACTAGATATTTGCTCAGTAATTTTTAAACAGAACCATTTTGTCAATTTCATTCGACAAGAGGTTCAAAGCAGTGGATAAATAATATTTTCTGGGTTTCTGATGCAACCATTTAGTGGAGTTTAACTCATTTCAATCACGGGACGAACTATTTTGCAGCTAGCCGACATTGTCAACACTTTAAACCAGACGTCTTTATCCATCGTTTTTGATTTGAACTAATGAAAATACAATATAAAATATGATATGATCATTATTGGGAGCTGGAATTTATATGTTTATTCTTATGGCCTTTTACGTAGCATATTTATAAATTTCGAATTGCAGAGTTCAGACATAGACAACCCAAACGTCCGTGATTCGATATCTTCAATTGGTTCTAAAGTAAAGTGGTAAAGCACGCGAATTATTCAATATTCGCTCCTCATGATTGACGATATACCTTAACACCACACTTATACTTTTAAATTTTTATTCGCTCTTCAGCTCCTCGACGCAAAATGAAATGAAATTTTACAGATTCTTGATGAGACAAACTAATCACGAAAGAAAGATCGGGTCATCATAGCCCTGTAACACTCAGGCTAAAGTTTAGAGAAATACAAATATTCTCGTCGTAAATACAGCAGCTAGTATTGCTCTGAGCAGTAGGCCGAAAATTGTAATGAAAAGTATATCAATTCGGTGATTGATTTCATCAAAGCAACGTAGTTACGATAGATCTACAACAATGTAAGCAAACATCGGCCGATACATATATTTATCAATATTGAAATGAAAATATATATTGTTAGATTCAATTTCATTTGTAAAGGTCGGCATATCGATGGAGGCAGAGTAAGATCATTAATTAAATTAACTCTCAAGAGCTATTTATATTTACTATTATAATATACCCTCGTGGTTTACAAATAATGCTCCCAAGGAATGCCTCCTAATAAATTAGTGCCTTTGCCGTAAATACAAAAGAGTGGCAATCATAAAAATGTGCATTTCATTAGGATTATTGGTAGCGTTGTCCAGAGCTCACGTGACTCATTTGCCGGGTTTTACGAACGGGTTCTCTAGAGACGAAATAACGTGACAAGCTCCAAGAAGTATTGTGACACTGCTCCATGAACTGACTCCTTATTTGAGCATCACGTGAACTGACTGTGGCAGTGTGAAAGTCCCCAGACTCTGCAGCTAGAGACGGCCTGATATGTTGTGAACACCTTGATGACGAGGGGGTTATCGATCGGCAGATTAAGGAATATTGCAGGTTGCTCAAATTTCACAGTATGTCTTATGCCTTGAGGATGTTACATCTTTTTGGAAAACTGGGTTCACATGCCTCTGATCAGTGTTTTATCTGATGTGAAGGCAACCACTCAACCTAGTTCATGAGATATTACCGTAAGTATCTAGAAAATTGGTAAAAACGACATATGGGTACTCGATGGGTGGCTACTTATTATCACAATTGATCACGTTCATAAACAACTCCTCTCGATATAATCAGATTTAACGGAACTAATCAGAGCCTAAGATCTCTTTGAATTTAATAAAAAGAGACATGACTTAAAGTCAGAGCGAAATTTAGAATGACTATGTCAAATGGTGGTCATACTTATTACGGCAGGCCCTACAATATCGTTGATCATATGATAAACGACACGTGACAGTATGAACGCGCGCGCGTTGTTGAG